TTCTCAGTGTTGAATATTATAATATTTTTAAATTTTGGTATTTGTTAAAGAGGATTCTGATGCAAAACGTTTTCCATTCTTGTAAATGCATAAAAATCTTTGAGCCTGATAGCCTTAATGTGCTTTGCCATAATAAAGTGAAACATTTATAAAAAATCTATTTGTCCGTGAGCTTTATAATGTATAATAATGCAGTTAGTACAGAAATGCATAAACTAATTTTTTAAGTAGTTTTATGATAGAGATTTTATTATTTCATCTGCGTTCACCTGAGAAGCACTTAAAACACAAAACTCACAGCTGCAAGAAACAGCATATACATACTTTCTTTAGCACTTCCCACACACACCAAAATGGCACTTAAAAGAATACAAAATGCTTCATAATATGTAATGTAGCAGCATCATTACTGAGAGCTGAATAAAGGCAATAGTATTTTTATAAGTATCATTGATACCTGCTTTGCTTAGTGTCTTTCATATTGCCAGTGAGACTAGATGATTTCTACATCCATTTGCAGATTTTAAGTACAGTTATGTTTATTAGAATGACATTTAAGAATACATAGTACCTCATAATTAATGTTACTCGTAATTAAAGTATTGGGTAAAGACAAGTTGGGACATATGGACAGCTGTGCGTGTAGCATTTCTGTAAGAATCATTGATACCTACGTAGTCTCTTTTCACTGCCAGTCACATTGACATAGGACGATGGGATGACCAATAATTAAAAATCACAGGTTTGCCATTTGTACTGAACTTGACAACTTATTGCTTTATTCTTTTCAAAAGTTGGGAAGGAGAAAGAATCAAACTGGTGTAATGTCTTTCAGCACAAAAGTTACAAAATCTAATACTTTTATTGCAGGTTAAAAATGTTGTTTCATAATGGTCAGCATATTGCTGGGTTTTGTTTTTTGGCAGTAATAATTTTAAAATAATGTTTTTTTCAGAATTTCAGTACTATTTAACTAAAAATTTTCCATAAAATTTCTTTCAACAAGAAGTCCTGAGCTGGCATAGACTCTTCAGAAAGCAGACATGAGCTCTTTGAAGTAAAATTTTCAAAATTCAATGTAATTTTTTTTTTTTTTAAATAAAACTTGAAGCAATTTTTTTATTGGATGTCAAAGTCATTTTTTATGGCATTTTTGCATGTGCCTGTATTTAACAGTCGTATTCGGATAGATCAGAAAAGAAACTCAAATTGAAGTTTGTTTTAAAAAATCAAATGTTAGATTTATTTAATTAACTAAATTTAATTTATTGTTTTAGGGTGACCTTTTTTACACTCAAATTTCAATATACCTCCTGTCAATTTCAATATACCCACCAGAAAATCTGTTGTTAATAATGTTTTGAACTTTTTGCAAGTTATAAAAACAACACAGTGGAGAATTATGTTCCTTCTTCCATCACATGGCCTAACTTAGAAGCAGTGTAAAGTCACCTAATTTGCTACTATACTGCGTAGAAGGAATAATTTCCTTTCATTTGAATGCACTATTTTTCTTTTCATTATTATTTTTTTCCTTTTTCTGGGGCATTTTCAGCCCTTTAACATCTAAGAATGGATTTTTGTTGTTTCCTGAGCAAAAAATTATTATGAAATAGAAAAAATTCTGCTAGCATTACAATTAATAAATACAATTATGCTTTATTTTATATATATATAAATATAGCCATGCTGTCTTGGAATGTATTTATAAAACTCTATTTTTTATATATGAACAAAGGGAGAAGATTATTCTAATGTCAAATTTGACTCAAGAAGAAAGAAAAATTAGTACACATTTTCTGATATTTTATTTAAAACCAGTATCAAATACAGCTCAGTGCCCATTTTTAATATTATTGGTCCATTAGAAATGAGCACAAAAATACAACTTAAAGTACTTGAAAATAAATCTTCTAAACATGGAAGAACATTTCAAATGAGTAAAAAGTTGGAAAATTTCACTGAAGGATTTAATGAGGTGATTTACAAAATAATGATAGGCAATACAACAGAGGTGTACAAGAACATCATATATTCTTTTTCCTCTTATTCATTTTAAGATAATAATTAACATGTAGATTTAGGGAATGTGGAGAGAATTTAATTTTTATGTTATTATGTATTATATAAGAATAAATGTTTTATATTTTGCTTTATATAATGTTAATCTCGGCTTATATAAACATACCTAGGGCATTCTCATTTATAACAAACTTTTTATTACATAATTTTAAAGTATGATTAAAAAAGTTTTTAATATTTTCTGATTTGATGGAGGTATAGTTCTAAAAAATTTATTCTAAACCACAGTTATTATGTAAGTAATCATGTGTCCATTTAAGTGTCACAATTATAAAGTAAAAAACTCGAATCGTAATCAAGTGACTGCTAGTGATAATTTTCGTTATACGAATTACTGCTAAAAATAATGAAGCAATTATATGTTTTATTCTTCCTTGAGCATGATTATTGAGCAGAAATGCAAGCACTTTTAAATTAAAATTTGTATTTTAGTTAGTTTTGTATTTTAGTAATTTTTCCATAATTGAGTTCATTAATTTGGGAAAATTTGTATCATATTCTCTTTTGTTTCTTGCAAGAAATCTTTATAAATTATCTGAAAACAGCTCAGAATGTTGACTTAAAGTTTAGCATTTCTTTGTTCATAATTCATTACATATGTAAGGAAAACACACAATTCTGAATTTTCTAGCGATTTTATGCATATAGAATTCGATTGTTAGAAAACAAGAATGAGAAAGTTCTGAATTTTATGTTTTTACATTTTTGTATTTATCATTTATTTTCTAATCATATATATAAACTTGGTCTTTTTTTAAATATGTGAATGTTTTTAATTCTTGAGATTATTCTAAGTAAACTTTGTTGATGGTAAATATTTAAATTTTGTGTTAAGTTGTTAGGTAAAATAGACAATTCAAGACTGACAAATTATTTAGTAAGCAAAAGAAACCACACATTTTTGAAAATCTCCTTTTGTACATGTTGCGCTAATGTTTGATGTTGCTACTTTACTTTAAATCACCTGCTTCCCTTTTACAAATTTTTATCAATTATGAACAATCTTGTGAAGTACATTAATGTGCATGATATTGCACAGTTTGTTTTTTAAATATGGAACTGTCTCAAGATGCAGAATAATCGTAATATCTTAAAAAAAGATTTATGTTTTCTTTAGGTATTTATCTCCCCTCAAGAAATTCTCTCTCCCTCAAGAAATGTCACTTCAAATTGGCTGGCTATGTGTAGCTGCCAACAGGCAATAATGTATCCTTTGTTCTTACTATATGGATATTATTCAAGCATTTAAAAGTTGTATTTCTTTTAACTCAGCATTCTACATTTAAATTTTTTTTCTTTGCATTAAATTGAAAATATGCAAACGACTAGTGACATGGATATTGAAATTCTTAAAGATGAATTTACACAAAATAAAATAGTTTGGCCATGTAATGCTGGCATCAGTTGTGCAATATTGGTTATATTTCTGATAACGGAAATTATTGAGCGATGGCTCTTGAGTAAGAATTTTCCTTTCAGGAATATCAAAACAAGTTTCTTGTTTGCAGATCCTGATACTTGTGAGAATAGAAATCGTATTAAATGCGACATTGAACGTAATTCAGTTTTGGCAGTTTTAATTACCTAAATAAAATTAAACTCTTATAGTGGGAATTTAAATGAATTTAAATTGTTTGCTTCAATATAATAATTTATATGCAATATTTTGAATTGCATTTTCTTCAAAATAAAATTGTTGAAATTGCAATCAGATGAAAATTCATAGACAAGTAGATCGTAATTTTAGACCATTTCTATAGAAGTATGTATGATTCTTATGTTAAGAGATGAGCATGCAGCATATTTCAGTGATATGCACTAGAGATCTTTTCAATCACATGCTACATGTGTTTGAGTAAATTCATAATTCAAACACCCCAATCTTTTTTCCATAGCGGAAGACGAAATGTAATTGATTCCTTCCTGTCATAAAAAAAGGAAACAATTATGTTCATACTATGAACCAATTTCATGAATGAACAGTTTTTTTCTTAAACAAAATGCCAGTTTCATTATGAAAGGACTTTTTTTAAAAAATTCTTTATGTAATCTTGTATGAAAAAGTGATAAACCAACAATGATTCTATCGTATGAATGGTATGACAATTATTAACAACCGAATAAATGCCTAAGTACATGCAACAAATACAGTCTGGCAGTGCATGCTAACGAAGCTTCTGCAGATAACATCAGTGGAAACACAAAAAATGCAAAGGTTCATTAAAGAATGAATTTCATTTACTAGAAAATATTATATAGTAAACTGTATTTAGTACTTAAGAATAATTCAGTGCAATACTTAACAGTTTTTTCCACAGGATGTATTATAATATGATTAAGTGATATTTATTGCAAAACAAAAATTTTATCGGATTAAGTATAAAAGCACTCTGTCGTAAATGTAAATATTTTAAAATAAATAAGGAATTAAAATTTTATTTTGTATTCTTGGGATATATATAATATATATATTATTAGATTAAAGATTAGTTTATATATATATATATATATATATATATATAAACTAATCTTTGATGACATGATACTTTTAGTAAGAACACTCTTTCTTTTCCACAGAGGATTATTTTGGATTTGTAACTTAGATCATTATTTGAAAGATATTGCTTGTTCCTGCAATATTCTTTAAAAAATGCTAATCTTATAGAGAAATGTATAGTGATGTATTATTCCTTTCTATAAATGGCTTAATAATATTAGTGAGTTAATTATTTTAAAGAAAAACAATTCTGTACATCTGTCTTCAAGCTTTGTTTTTTATGTAAAAAAATTCATATTTTTATATACTTAAAATACTTAAATCCAACTAAATTTCTTTAAATAAGAAAAAATGCATGAGCCCAAAATGGAACTTTTAAAAACATAATATTTTACTTTCTCAGAATTTTCTGTTTTTTTAATTTTTTTTTTTTTTTTTTTTTTTTGATAGTAGGACCAACTTTTATTTTAAGATGTCAAGCCAGTATGTTAAAAATATCTATGCGTGCATTTTAACCTGCTGCATATGTTGCTGCAGGATGGCCAAAATAATGCTTGCATTTTTTATATAATGACCCTATACATTTTAGTGCACACAAACTCAACTTGTTAAAAATGTGTAACAGCATCCAAGAAAAGAAATAACTTAGAGTCCAGTTATTTTAGCTACTGTACTTGTCAAGTGATACATTGAAAACTGTACTTTTTAAGGTAAATAAAGTTCTTCTAATAATAATACAGACAATGAATAGTAATAGTGATTATTTTTGATTCGGAATTTAAAAAATGCTTTTTTAATTTATGCATGCAATATTTAAATAATTATAGGAAATTTAAAGAAGAATATATTTAATCTGATTATTATAAGCATTTTTTTAAACAGTTGGCACAAAGCTAAATCTAAAGCAATGAATTTTTGCTGTATTTTCATTATTAGTATAAATGGCTTTATAATGGTCGTTGTTAGTTAAAATGTTCATTTAATCTATTAAGTGCAATTTGAGCTCAGTGTGTTTTGCTAAGTGTTATTACACAAGATACTGTGCATCGGCTAACTGGATTTAAAAAATATATGGTTAGTTGTTTTGGCAGGCTGGAAGTTACTTGGTCTTATGCAGGCAGGAATATTTTTTTATAAAGAAAATATTAACTGTAAATAGTATGTAAAGCATGAAGGATCTTTTCATCTAATGAGGTGTAAATCACGATTTCAAATGTTATTTTGCGAAAATAGTTATGCAGCTTATCGGATGGAATTCGTGAATAATCCTTTGGAATTCATTCAATACCCTGTTACACAATGCAGTGACGGATAATGCTGGAAATTTTGGATTAAAAATTGTAAATGCAATATAATACTTTAAATATATAATATAAATTAATAATTTCATTTATTAAGCCTTTTTTATAGAAAGAGCTATCTACAATTATAGAGCTAAATTTAATAATGTCGTGGAAAATACAGTGATCAGGTAATGATAAAGAATTTTAGAATTCGATTAATGAAGTTTTTTCAACAAGTGCAAAATAATTTGCATATTTAATATTTAATAATCGTTTATGATAGGGGAAGCACCTAATACTTATGAACAGGGGAAATAGTAAAAGTTTTGTATGCATCTCGTAGATTTATAAAAGCCTCATTGCTTATGTGCAAACAATAATAAAGCTCTTGCCATAACCATTACAGCAAGCCCACATCGATGGTTCCGACTGTCGTCGCTATTGTAACTCTGGGTAATTTTGAAATTACCAGAGTATGCATGTAGCACGTGCATAGCATATTTGATATTCCCCCCGAAAGGGAAGGGGAACTCATAATATTAGGTGATCCTGGTGCTGTTAGTTAACTTGCCATTTTGAATAAGCCACCACAATCACCCAAGATTATGAACTAGATTTTTACCCTATAGAGGTACGTCAAGAATGCTGTAGTCTGTTTCAAAATCTGCCATAGTTTGAATAACATAGTTAGAGGTTATCGACGTGTACTACAACATGACAGCTAGATCTCGTTTATCTTTTGGACAGACAGGTCTTATGCGCAAAATTTGCGAATCCTTATAAGTAAAACTTTCATATTTCTTCATGTCCATAGATACATTAATGTGCCTTCTATCAAAAACAGTTACATTATCCAAATATGCAAAACATGCAGATTTAATATTTTCGAATTATTCGTATGTACAGGGGGGGAATATGGGAATAAAAATTTATTAGGAGTTTCTTATTGAATAGTTTTTAAGTAAATGCTTGGTATCTTTTGCATGTGAATTTCGTATTTTTGTTCATGATATTTTAATAAAATATTTTATATATTTTACTTAATTGTGTTCCAGATTGATATCAGTGCTTTGTGTACTAGAATATTTCGTAAAAATTGTGAAATCGGATTCATGGCTTTTATGTATGTTTGCTGCAATGAATTATAAAAGTTAATGTTTAATGTTTTGTTATATTTTCATGTACCTTTCCTAAATTCTAAAAGCACACATGATTCTCCCCTTTTTTAAAAAATAATGATATCTTGATAAGCCAAATATTTAGGGCAGTGCTATCTATTGGAAGGTTTGTAGAGTAAGTATCGTTGGACACGGACATAGAAACATTACATGTCATGCACAGTGATATACAGATTTGAAAATATATCCAGTCTAAGAGCAGAGCTATTTGAATCACCGTTTAGCACCTTAAAAAGAAATATAATTTAGTAAATGCATTTCAAATAGAAACAAAGTGTCTTCGGACATTTTGGCTTTTCCACATAGGTGAATAAATTGGTAGTTAAGGTTAGTGATTCTTAGAGGTAGAGTTATGTGAGGACTCTCGCTCTTGAATTTAAATATCTACTCTAAGTTTAAAAGTGTAAGCTCCAACTAACAATAAATAAATAAATATTTCATTCGTTTTCACATTTTGCTGCCAATCTGAAATATAAGTTAATAATTTTCATGCTCCCAGTCTCTAGAATACGAGGAACTTCCTCTGTCTTGAGGCGGAATGTTACCAGAATCTTCATCATCTTGCCAAGTCCCTCCGTTTTGATAATTATACTGCACCGGATAAAGAGATTTTTCCATGTCTTTTGAGACAAACTGTTCATCATTTAAACACCTGAATCTTTCTTCTAAATCTGCCAGTCTTTGCATGGTCACTTGAAGTTCTCGTAACATTTGTTGAGAAGAATCTTCCATTTCAAGTTGCTTGTTTTCACTTAATTCCAGGCACTCTTTCAACTCTAAATTTTCTATCTGAATTTCATATAGAGACTGTTTAATGCTACTGAGCTGATCTTCCAGTTGCAAAGCATTTTCTGCTGACAATTTTAGTTGTTGTTCTTTATCATTAAGCAACACTTCAAACCTCATAAGTCTTTCTTCGTTTTCTTTTAGTTTGTCCATCAAAGGGTTGGAAAATTCTTCTTGATTAACGTATTCATGTTCTTCGGGAACATCGTCCTGTATCACATTACTGCTGAAGACTGATTTAAAATTATAACTCTGAGTAGGACTTTCACCAGTGCTGGTTTCCATTTTTTTGCACAGGTCATCTATGCAGTGATCGATATCCTCCAGATAGCCATACACTGTCCTATTCAGTTCATGTTTACTCATGATTTCATTGCAGTGTCTATCTTTTAGTTGGGAATGTAGATCCTTAATCATCTCTTGACATGACATGAGTGTGGCATGGTAGCCTATGAGCTGAGAATGGATATCAGGATTTTCGTAAGGTTTGTTTTCTTCGAGTCCGTTGATATCTTCCGCATATGGTGGTGGAGCATGTCTTTTTACAGTATGACTTCGTTTCTGCCTGGAATTATGTTTAGGTGGGGTTGGTTTCTCAGGAGGATTGGTTTCTAAGTTTCTTTGGCCTGAAATCACAAGACGAAATTAATGAACTTCCATGAAAGAATAATAAGTAGGAAATCTTATATTTCTATATTATATTTTAGTATAGTTTAATATTTCTTAATGAAAACGTTTTTAAATACATTGGGAATTTATCTATCGTTTATAACTTATTGCTTTTTAATAAAAAAACTCGTAATTGCTTTTGCTTCTTTCCTGAATTAAAAATGTGATTTTCTGAAATTTAAAATGATTTAACGGTTTGCGTCGAATCTGTTTTTCGCATAGAAAAATGCTTCATAAGTCTAGATCAAGCTTTGCACCTATTACTTTTTTCTATATTCTTTGCAGATTCAAATTGAAAACCTGGAGCTAACCGGAACGAGCTAGTGAAAATTAGTGGAAATAAATTGACTTCAATTTACAATGAAATAACATTTGAAATGATGTTAGATAACGCGGATGCAGAGCCGAGGAAACACTATTTCAAAGACTAATGGTGCTGACTGAAGGCTACGTGCGAAGAATTATTGCCATTTTGTATTGTCAGATTTATAGTCTAAAGAGCTTCAATTTCTCTTCTCTCAAACGATCCGCGTGGGAAATGCTGCGCCAGAAGAATGATTTACAAATGATTAATGTGGTGAAGCAATAGTTCGAGATGCTATACATGCAGGAATACAATAGTTGTATTTGTACAGAACTTCATTTGGGGCCGTAAACGACAAACGATATATGTATGTGAAAAACTATCATGGCTGGAACAGTGGATTGAGGTCCTAATATGCGCGAAATCTTTATTAACTGAAGTTATAATTTTACTTAAATAAGCTTGTGAAAGCTTGCAAGTCGTTATTCAAATGTTCGGGCATTTATATGTCTGTGAACATTTCTGAAAGTAATGTCGTACATATTTATGCTGAATTTTCATCTGGTTTATTCTCGTGATTCTATTCGATTTCAAAATCATCTGGTTTATTCTCATGATTCAATTTGGTTTTCAAAAAGAACCTATACTTAGCTTGAAATTTTACCACGACGTTTTCGACGATGTTTTTAAACTGCTTTATTTTCGATGAAGATATTTTGTACCATGATGTTTTAGAACTGCGATGTTTTCTCTTTGCTTTATTTTCTCCCACGATGTTTTGTTCCACGTCGTTTTCGCCTTGCGCTGTTTTCTCCGCGACGTTTTCGTCCGCGATGTTTTCGGCGGACACCGCTATAGTTATGCTAATAACTGACCACTAATGCGTACAATAATTATTTAAGAGAAAAAAACTCTATTCATAAATTATCCTTATTAACTTTTAATTTTAGTAAATTATGTAGAGTAATAGAATGGTAGACAGCATTAATTTATTAAAATTTCTTTTAATTGCAGTTAAGTGAAAAATTTGTCATATTGTTGCTTGCATGCCTAGTATTTATTTTAAAGAAATTTATTAACGAAATAATTTGCGAGAAAAAAATTCAACTTACATGAGATATTTTTCTGGAAGACATCAATGAGTTGCCTATTGAAATGAATTGATTTCTCCAACTTTTTCTGCATCAGGAAATTTAAGCGTATATATTCAGCCAGATCCAGTAGTATAGATTCAGAGTTTTCAATCTGAAAGATAAATATTATAATTTCAATTTAACAAAAAATGTTTCCAGTTTTCGTTAAGACTTTTCTTTGATTATATATTTGTGGAGTTTTTTTTTTTTTTTTTTTTTTTTTGGAGGGGGGGGGGAGCTTTTTGCCGGGATTTGAACATTAGCCCTTCCGATCACGAAGGCACACGGAAAGGAGGGAGAAAATATATATTTACTAAAAAAAAATATGCATATAAGAAATATGCCCTTTCTTTGATATTTTTCCTCGCTGAAGGCTCTAAGACACAGTCCTAAATATTATACATATCAGGATATCCCTTTTAGAAAACTACAAGCAATGTTGGGAAACAAAAATTTAGGCGTCCTTCCGTTCTATTGAAGTTACGAAACTTACGGCTGAGGATCACATAAATTATCAAACGCAATCAGTATTCCTTCGTAATTTCTGTTTTTTCTAAATAATAATAAATTCGATTGATATAAATTTGCTAAAAGAAAAGTAACCTGAAGAATTTAAGTCTGTCATTTTAAAGTTTTATACAGTGGGACTGAATATATTATTATATAATATCTTTTAAGTTTAAGTTATATCCTGTTTTCATTTCTTTAATCTATAATATATAGCGTAATAATAAATGATCACTTTGAAATGATATTCAAAAATTTATATAAATGTTCATACTAGATAAACAGGGGAAGAATTTCACAAGTGAAACTGAGTGCACAATTTATGAGAAGCATTTTCAGTGACTTCTTCAGCTGTACTTAAATGAAAGAAATTATTAGAAATAGAAAGAGAGATCACCGATTTCGAGAACTTACTAGTAACTCACGATCACATTCTGTATAAAAGATGTTGTTATTTCAGTTTCTTTTCATTTGAAATATTTAATACAAGTAAAAAGAGAAGTTTTTAATTTGTAATATATTTTTCGTATATTAAATTCTGAATAATGGATCAGTGGATCACTACTTATTTCTTTTAAGCGATACTGGAAAGCTAAAATTTGATTTTCAGAGCTGATGATATGTCAAATAATAATTCGGGCAAACATTCTTTAGTTCTAAAATTACTTCAAGGCAAATTACAAAAGGGCTGTGTCACAAAATTTATTATATCAAAAGTGATAAAGAACTTTAAATTCGCAAAGCCGGTAAAGGCGTTCTATAACGCTAAGTAATCTAAGGAAATCATTTAAATAAGTTTATACATAGATTTATATATATATGGGACATTTTAGCGATCAAAACTAGTTAACGGATGAAACTTGATGTAAAATAAAGCTTTCATCATATTATCAGCTTCAGGCTACACATCCATTGATGCCTATTAACTTCGAATTTACTAAATGGCTTCAGTCGTGAAGTCAGATAGTTAAGCAGCAGCTGGAATTAACAATGCGCTAGTTGTTAATCGATTTTGACGTCTGGAATGGGCTTTTACCCCAAGAGAATGCTAATTGTTTGCAGCTTCTAGATTCCCTGCCGTTTCAATCCTGGATGCCACCTAAATGCAATACCCTGTTTCAAAGCAGTTAGGTAATCGAAGCATATATTCTCCAGCTATAATAAATTAAATTACGTATAAAATCACTTTATCTCCATAAATTGAATTAACTAGAAAGTTAGTACTAGTTGTATATCTCAATGTATTAACTCGCAAAAACAGGAGGGAATTTCAAAGGGTTTCCCAGATATCGCTATGTAAAATTCTTTATTAGCCCAAAATAAATTAGTTTTATTAGTTTCGAAATGGGATTTTGCTTAGGTTCACTCTAAACGGCGTATCACTTTTTTAATTGTGGTCACCAAATATATTACCCTGTGTTATTTTTAGAGAAATTAAATAGTAAAGAATCTGCATGTATTTATGTTTCTCGCACTGTAAGAAGGCCCACCAGCGGCCGAGTGGTAAAGACGCTGAACACTGGTAGTTCGGTCTGAGGTTCGAATCCCGCGAACGGGTTGGCTGCATGGGCGTTTTCGTGGTTTTCCCCATGTGTAACGTGTATACGAGCCAGTTTCCCTTAGAAAGTCCTCCACGAAAGGCATCCCTCCCTTTAGGCAGATAGCCCTCGTGTGCTTTGCCATAATTAAATACACCACCACACCACACCACACCACCGCACTGTAAGAAAACGACGGAACCTAGTGCCATCAAATTTTGAATAATGTAGTCTTCCACCCTAATATACGCGCCTGGAAGCCCGAATTTTGAATTTCGAATTTTATATTTCATATTTTATAAATATTTAATGAATTTTCGATTAACAGACTCAACGCTTTGAAAGCGAGTAGTGGCAACACTGTACGGAACGAAACAATTTTATCTCCAGCGCGAGACTGTCTATCGGAAATTCTGAAGATATGCTGTTTTATATGAATTTTATGTGACTTAAAGGTGAAGATGATATGAATTTTATGTGAACATGGTATTTAATAAAATTAACACACACAAGTTTAATAATAAAAAGACAAAAAAAAAAAAAAAAAAAAAATATATATATATATACTGCAAGCCATCTTACGAAAAAAAGTAGAAAATATATGCCAACACTTAACACTGGAATTCTAAACATATGCTGCTATGCTATTTTTAAAATTTTTGTAAATTTCATGTTGAATTCTATATGACGTTAAGTGCGAAGAAAATTATGCGTAATCATAAAGCTAGAAAGACAAAAAGAAATAGGTTAGCAGGGTGAGTGCAACAGCAGACTGGGAGCTCAGCGAGAGTTTAAGAAACCTTATTCAAATCCTTTTGGTCGATTGTTAAAATCTTAAATCTTTCAGATTTTTACATACTTATTTTTTTATTAAATAGTTTAGGTTTCTTACAACATTTTAAAAAGCTTGTTTACAATAGCAGGTGAATGAACTTTCCATTTCAAAAATTTCCACTATATTTATGGAAAATGAGCTAGCAACAATCTTCACACCGAAGCTTTTATTTGATATTTATTAAAAACTCTTTAAACCTCTTTCTAAAAATATCTGATATGGACACCACATGACTTCCTTGTACGGCCTATTAAATTATGCACATTTTTTGCTGCCTCCATTTAAACTTATTTCCTCGAATTCCATCGAAGACATATTTCTCATTCAATCAATTCAGTTCTTAATTCGTGAGAAGGCAAAAATACCTTTAAATCTCAAGACATCTTCGTTAAATATCTTAAAATACAGAAAAACGTAACATCAAATACAGTTAAAATAATTTTTGCAATTAAAATTACAGTTTTTACTGAAAAGAAACAATTCGGGCAGCGAGCAGGAAGAGAAAATTTTCGGTGCACAATATTCAAAGTTAACTTTTGGCTCACAGGGTAAACGGACACTAAAGTTATTCACTATTCTACTAAATTTTGATTCGCGCAGTTGGAGTATACCCTTTAAAATGTAAACAAATGGCGGCATCTTCAGGCCTAGCGCCACTTAAACTTTTAAATTGTTGATAATTCTACAACTGTTCTGCATGCAGATAAACCAAAGGTATAAAAATCTTAGTTGGAACATAAGAGCAACATAATTCAATCACATTTAAAGCAAAACATGCACAATTTACCAACATGTATCAGATTAAAAAAACTGAGCTCACCGAGGCGGGTAACAGACTATATATATATATATATATATATGTTAAAGTTTATGGCGAAGTTTTTTCAGTTAATTTATAAAAATTGTTTCGTATACAGTTTCAATTGTCTGTTTCGGCAAAACGCGATATGGAGTTAGCTGGATTCGAAAATCATTAAAATTATTTCCCCTGAAGAGCCTTAATGAGATTCGAATTGGGCTAATCTACTATTTACCGCTTTGTTTTTGTATTTTTGTTTAAGTCTTTTGTCGCTCTTTAATTCTAATGTTTAAAATATGCCTTACTTTGATCAGCACATTGCTTACAATTAGTATTGAATTTTATTTGTAAATATTCAAGTGTTTATATTGTTTATTTAATCTTTTTTACACATTTCATTGCACTTTAATTTGCCTTTGTTAATATTTTCACGGAACCACAGTATCTAAGCAACTTTTCAGCGTACGAACTAGGAATTTTCTTAACTTTTTTGTAAATTTTACAGCTCAGTGCGCAAAGTTTTTGACCATATACGTCTTTTATAGTTTGTTCTCTTTTCTATGTAACAAATATGTAATAAATTCTTTTGCTGTAATAGATTCTGTAGTAGAACGCAGGTGGTTGTATCCACAATGAACAGCTAGAATTTTGATGTCGTAGAATGCTGAACCGCCGATCCAAAAGGAATAAGAAATTTGGCAGTCAAGGTATGTTTAATTTAACTTTTATTTCAGTAAACATGTTGTGGCCAAAAACAAGTTGGCACATTAACTGTGGCTATTTGAAAAAGTTTGCATTTTTTATAACTTTGTAGCAAGAAAGCAGCAGCAGACAGACAACAGTCCAGCTAAGCCAAAGCGTTGAAAGCAAGTGCGTTATGTTCAGGGAGAAATCTTAATTCAGACTGAGTTAGTTTTGGTTCTCAATGCATTTTGATTGGATGGTTAATATTGCTGTAAAATTACTATTGGCTGTATGAGTTTTAGTTTCATTTACATCATCAGAATTATATAAGAGTCATATGACAGATTTTTCTCGAAATGACGCAGTGCAAACAGAGGTTACTATTTTTAGAATTCAGAAGGGAAAAATCTAACGTTCTATGACTGCTCTTTTTTGAGTTATTCGAGATACATACATACGTACGTACAGATATATCAAAAATGCCTCTTCTAAAGTCATTTTATAAATAGCTTTCGGCTCTCCAGTATTTTGAGTGCACCCTGCCGCGCAGACACTGTACATTTACAAGCATACATGTCTTCTCAGTAATTTGAATCCAGCTCCATTGATATGGCAAGCAGATATAAATATAATAACATATTTTACATTAAGGAGAATTCATTATATGCTAAAAAAATAATAATAGCGCTAAAAAACCACAGCTCCTTTTTATATGGGGACCTTTAGTATGCTAATGAACAGAATGTAGACTTGGTCTAAAAAAATTATGTAAAAAAAGTTGGTAGTTGATCTACAACAAAGTTGATCAAAGAATTCAGTTTAAGATAGTTTCAGATCATGATCTGTGACATTTATACTACGGTGAGACTTCGTTCAATATAGCAACATAAATTATTAAAGGCTCGGCATATAAATTATCGGACAAAGATTACATTCTCTCGATATGGAACTAACAACATGTAGGAACTAACGGCAATTTTATACTCTAATTCGGGAACCTGCAGAGGTGGAGGTGAAAGAAAAAAATGCTCTAAGAGATGAAGATTTAAGAGATGAAATTATAAAACAATGAGTACGTGTTTAAAATTATTTCTGCAAGTGTTTTTTGTAAAATTCTTGAATATTTGTAGAATGTTCACGTTGAGCAGGCAACTCTGAGTACCTAAAGTTCACAAGAAAGATAAGATTTGTTGTCTTTCTACAAAATAGTTTAGTTTATTTAATTATTAGAAAGCACTCTAGGGCTATCTATTTAGGAGAGGTATACCCTCATGGAGGGATTTCTAAAGGAAACTGACTTGTATACGCGGCTGGCTGCACGGGCGTTTTCGTGGTTTTCCCCATGTGTAACGTGTATACGAGCCAGTTTCCCTTAGAAAGTCCTCCACGAAGGCATCCCTCCCTTTAGGCAGATAGCCCTCTTGTGCTTTGCCATAACTGAATAATCCAATCCAATCCTTAATAACAGTAAATATATACAAAATTATTTTATATTCTCTAATTAATTTTGAACTTAAAATTATTAAATTTATGTTTCTTACTTTTCCTTCGGTGGCTAGAATAGCGACCATTTGGCTTCGAACATCGCATAAATTGTTGATTTCGTCTGTTAAATGATAATTAGCTTCTTCGAACATGCGTAGATAGTTCTTCAGCTTTTCCAACCACCTCTTGACTTTATTTGCTAGCAAAAGAAATGCAAAGGCAAATGTTACTAAAAGGGCGAAGCTAATAAATTTCATACATTTTAGGCGGGGGGGGGATAAAAACTAAGTCAGGGGTTGTTAAAATACATTTCCCGTCTATCAAAATTGCGTAATTGAAATTTTTTGTAATTCGTTTAAAATAGTTAGAATGAAAAAAATTGAAAAGAAACCCCGAGTCAAGAAAAAAATCAGACTATCTTCCAACTGGCACAGAAGACAAAATGTTGAAAAAACAGTGAATAGTAAATGGAAGAAAACTAATTAATGATTCATTATCGATAAGCCTTTTTAAAACTGAAGTTTGAGTAACGAACGTTAGAACTTTTTAGAAATTAGAAACTAATTTTAAAAGAAAATTTGATGTATCTAAGTGATACTCATATCAACAAAAAAAAAAAAAAAAAAAAAAAAAAAACTGATGTTGTTTGCGCATGATCTCCCGCCAGCTCCATATTTTAAACAGCAAAGGAGCCTTAACCCGTTCAGTGCCGCTCTTGAGTTAACTCGATAAGCCCGAGTTAAAACGCGGCACTGAACAGGTTAAGAAAAATATCACTTATAGTTGAGCGCTTGCTCAAAAAAAAAAAGTTCTGATAAATAAAAGGGTTTGTAATACGAAAATTGGGATTACATTTTTATTTACTACAATTTGGCAGTACGTAAAAACTAGTTTTCTAAATTTATATCAATCAACATAATCAAATGTTCACCTCTTTATTTGTTTTTACTGAAAATTGCATTTTATTGAGCAGCTGAATAGCATAGAATATAAATGGTTTCTATTTAAAGACAATTAAATGTTTAATATTAAAAGAACTATGAAACAAATACCATTATTTAATTTTCTTCTACGTAATTTCCCACGTATCAACAAATCTAAATTTATTTTAATCTGCACGTGTATTCCGCGATACTTAGGTATTAGTAAACAATGTTATTAAATTACAGCGGAATAGTCATTACCGTGCGTTCCGGGATTAGTAAGAAGTAAAGCAACAGGTATTTTCAAATTCACTATTTGCTCTTGTACCTCGTCATTATCAACAATGCAAAAGTGCACTATTGATTTGCATTTTTTCTTAACATGTCTGCATTAGAAATTTGAATCTGTGCAAATGGAACGCCGTTTTAAAAATCATTCTACGGCTTGATACAAATAAATATCATGTCTAGGTATAATGGAAATGTGTGCTGTATTATTTTAGTTTAAACTCTTATTAAAGTGATTGATTCTATACTTTTTAGGAAAATCTATTAAGAGTTCCAAGTAAGATGCCACTTTCGGTTTATCATATATAACCAAAATTTAATATATTGTTCTTCTCATGATTGTATGTGCATCGTATATGCATGGAAGTGTTTTAAATGCTAAATTTGAGAAGTTTTGGATTATATCATAACATAGGTTTTCAGGAAAATCTATTCAAGCAAAATAATACTTTCAGTTTATCAGCTTCAGCCAAAATTTAATGTGGTGTTCCCGTTGATTTAAAAGTCTCAAATATTAAACTAAAAAATTCTAGATTATATTTTAATACAGTTTTCCAAGAAAAATATTATTGTCTTCATGTAAAATATCACTTCCATTTGTCCAATTTTGTATGAAATCTAAACAACTATTTACATAAATGCAAAAAATTTAAAAACGGAAAGCAGAAATTTTTGGAAGTTTGATATGAATGATCGTGGACGAAAAAACATTACACACAGACAGGCAGACATGAGTGTAAAAATAGTAAAAAAGTGTTGTAGGGACCCTAATTCGTGTTCATTCATTGAAAACTAAAATTAAAACTAAAATCAGCAGATTCTTGGGCCGAAAATGTTACTTCCGTTATTTATATAAGTTCTAGGAATCGAGCTCTAGTTGAATTCCTATAACTTATAAGCAACGTTGTCGACCAGACACTAGTCTTGGCATATTTATGCAGCTTGTTCCGTGAAATATTGTGTAGTCCAAGTCAGTTGCTTGACTGATGCAGATGCATTTTGTGGCACAGTTTTTTGCAACATGAAAGATGCGAAAAGTAGTCACTTTCTTTTTCCGTTAAGAGGGTGTGAAAACTTCAGAAATTATTCCAAGGTCTGCGAGAAGTATTTTGTTTCCACATATGAAAAAACTTTATGGGGTGGGGTGGGGTCCAATTTGAGAGTTCAACTGTTCATAAATAGGTGGATTGAGGCGACACCGAAAACGATTTTTGAGGACAATTAAAAAAGTTAATTTTTCGTTGGGGTAAATGTATTCAATCGAATGGGGATTATGTTGAAAAACATGCCTTGTCATATTGATGAAAATTGGCGGAACAAAAAAAAATATATCTAAATTTCTAGAACATTCGAAACATCCCTCGTGTGTAGGTTGGCGAGAAATAAAAAGAGAGTACTTTTTTCCATTAAAAAAATAAGTGTGGCATAAATAAATTTAGCAATCTGTTGCAGTTGTATTTTAAAAGGAAGAAAGGAAATGGGTATTTTATCAGATACAAAACATAAGTTATCTCAAGGAACATACCACCAAGGCCATTACAAGCATAACTCAAGCTCTGTTTGTGTTCTTCAGCAGCGGGAGACAGGCATCAAAATCAGTCTTCAAAACAATGGTAGTGATGTGCAGCATATTATACAAATAAAAAAAATTCACAAAAAAAGTTTATATTTTCTCTGTATGGAAACTTATTGTACATCCTCTCTGTACACATACATACATACACTAATGGGATACCCTGTATAACTATATCTCTCTCTATAGACATATATACTAATGGACACCCTGTAAATTTATGTATATATATATATATATAAACACACACACAAACACATACACATACGTTCTCACAAATGGAACTAAAGATAATTGTACCATCTTTAAATTTTTACGAGTGGTAAAAGGTATTCATTAGTGAAAACTGAGCTCAGCCATTGTCTTAAATTTTACTTATTCTTCTTAAAAAATTGCACAGAGGTTTATTTTTTTAAAAATATTTACTTAAGAAAAAAGGACTTGCATACAAAAATAAATCATAATTAATTAATTCTCTGTGAAGCATTTACTGTTCTGCAATGGAAAAGATAATTATGCAGGAATTGCACTCATTGTTAAAATGAATAATATTTGTTTGGAAATATAACAATTAATAATACTGAATATTCTAATCAGACGAGCACCTTTTGTAAGTGCCAGAAAGATCATACAGATCTTTTTTCTCGCGAACAAAATTTTAGTTGTCTAATAAAAGTCTGCTATGATTTAATTTTTATCATCTAAAAAGTTTTCTTAATATATTTTTTAAAACAACGTAAGAAAGCATAATTTATAGAAGAGAGATAAGCAGTTGATAATACCTAAAAGAAATTTCCATATTCTCCTAAGAATTTATAATCCATCTCAGCATGAGAAGCAGTATTAAAAAATATAAATGTCATCTTTTTTTTGTAATGTATAGGCAAATGAACTTTTATTAATAAGCATATAAACTACAGAAACTGATAAACAGCTTGACTGAAGAATGTAATTATACGATAAAAAGTAATACTTTTTATTCGCTAACTACAGTTTCTTAACTTAACGAAACATTTTCTCATCCTAACTCCCGATGGGCATAATTAATATTTCATATCATGACTTCACCTTTTGATTCTCTCCGAAATATTCTTTATAAATATTCTGCATCATTAGAAACTACCCTTAGCCCTTTTTGCCCCTTTATTTAATTAACACATTGATTTTCCGCATTTATTTTGACTACTGCTGCTTTTCTACATAAAATGAGTTACTGGCATCGCGGTAAATGTCTAATACTATTTGGCGAAGAGATTTTGGGTTGGCGTAAAAAAAAATATGCACGTTAGAAAATTTCTTTAAACATTGCTTGGAAATTCTGAATTTAAGGCATGTAGCCTTATCATTTATTACTTCTTTTGGGTTTTATTCTTTTCATGGCCATTATATAACAGAATTTAAACTTGGATTTATTTGTTTACCTTAAATAAGATAGCTCTTTTTCTATTTTTTTTTTTCAATTGATTCATAAACATTCTGGTCGAATTCAAATACTGATTTCTTCTACTGTAACAGTTCGAATTATCAAGAATGGGATATTCGAATTCCCGAATTCTACGAATCTCCAAGAAGGTTCGAAACTTGAATCTCCGTTTTTCCCTGTCATTCGAATTTTCGAATCCTAACCTGAGAACTTTTTTTTTCCCCTGATGGCAGATTGGGAACAATTACAAATGTAACCTAGTCCATTAATTTATACAAGGCCGGATGTGGTGGTCTCTTTATTATGGATGCACTTAATAGGTGGGCCACCAGCGCCTTTCCTATGAAGGGACGGACAGTTATAAGCATTCCTTCTCCGGGATTCGAACGCAGGCCCTTCGGTATCTCAGTCAGCTTCCCTGATCACTATACCGACTAGGCGGCGATTGTCTGAAACTTGTCAAACATTTTAACTCATGACTTTGTAAAAATTAGTTTTATTTATATAAAATAGAAATATTCCTTAAAAAGAGAACACTATTTTTGTAATTTCAGTGAGCCTGAATCAGAAGTGCATCACCGAATGTTAGGCCCTGATTACCACATTCTTATTTTTATGGAGAAAATTTAATGTTCCATGGCTAGTATCTACCTGTGTTAACTCTTTGAATAGTGTTTTTCCTTTAAAGGTTTTTTGCTTTAACCTTGGACCGCAGGAAATTGAAACTTTCTTTTATCGCATTAAAATAATGAACAATAATACTGTAAGAGAATTTTCATTTGCTGTTATTTCAAAACATAATTCATATCAACTAAAGTACTTTAATAAAATTTTTAATTTATGTCTCTTCCTTTAGTTTAAAATATATAATGTTATAGCAATTTTAATTCATTCCCATTTTATTATAAAAATTTAACATTTCGGATTCCTTTCTAACTGTTCTTTAAGTAAAATTAAAATAACTGTATTCCTTTTTTGTTGCATGAAATTAAGTGAATCACTTTTAAAACATATTTAATATTCATATGAAAAAGAAGTGATCTTAATTGGACTTAAGACTGATGGCAGTCACAGCTTACTACAACTGATAGCCTTTAATTTTATTAATGTTGACTTTAGTATTATCTAACAATGAAAAGCTTGAATATGTTATTAAAGAAATTAATGGTCCAAGATCTTATGATTGAGAATTAGTAAGATATCCCAAGGAAACGCCAGAAAAAAGTGGCCAGATAATTGGATTGAGATGCATGGTCTTGTCAAATTTATCAGGAAAAATTTCATTCTAATGTATTTGCCTTACATCTTTTAGTACATGGTGCCTTTTAAGTTGACTTCTAAAGCAAATTATATTCAAGAAGCCAAGAACAGCACGTATTTTATTGTTGAAACAATGACGTTTTATATTTCACTACATTGGTGCTGTGTTCATCACTAGACAGTTTCCGGATAACCTCTAAGGTAACAGATGTCAGGTCAATATTACACATCTAAATAATAAGAATTCAACTCAACTCAATATTACACAAATAGTTGAATTCAACTAATTTTTGTCGAATATTTTTAGGTAGTTTTAATTAGGATAATTTTGAATGGGACATACTATTTGTATTAAGAGGCAACAATTCACTACTGCTGCTTTTTTATTTGTATCTTACCGAGTATGTCAAAGACATGAATGGGAAGATTTGCAAAATTACCTGTTTTTTTGGTTGGCACATGAATGGTGTTTTTGCCTCTCCTAGATTCACACCTACTTTGGGGACATAATTTCTTTTTATGCACATCTTCGGACACACATGTTGTGGAGTAATCTGATGACAACGTCGTTTCTTCGACGCATAATCCCATGCGCTGACGAGACAACGTAGTATCTGGTTCAGACCATATATCCGAATCAGATGATAAGAATATACCTCCTTTGAGTTCTGAATTTCCAACAGGTATCAAATCCATCATATCAATAGATCTAACACATCTGTTGTTCACTACACCGCTGCTTTCATCTGAAGCTCCTCTTTCTTCAGACTGCTCATATGACATCAAGACGGAATCGCTGAAACTTCCAAAACTGACAGATCTTTCAATAATATTGCTGGAATTTTCTCTAGTATTAATGCTACCATCAGAACCATAGTTTTCAGTGATTTTTAGTCCCCTTGGGAATGGCGGAGAAACCACAGTTGGTCTGGTAAGCTTCTTTGACTGTTTATTGGCATCGCTGGATGTTGTTCCCTGGTTGACTTCTCTGTCATTTAGCAGCAAAATAATTTCATCACTGTCAGAACTTGCACCTTGGATTGACACCTAAAGAGTAAACAAATCTCAAATGCTTAATAACGTCTATTAAAAAATTCCTTACATGTTTAATAAATCCAGTCTACTCAAAAGCATATGTTAGATAGACTGTTGGGAAGAAAACAGGATGGTCTATAATGGATAAAAGTTTACGAAACATTAAATAAAGTTAATTAAGAAGGTACTAAAAGAACTCAAAACGGTCCTGAAAGCAAATTGAAGAAAACGGTTGAAGCAGGACAAACTTGCTCTCTTTTATGATATTTCGTTAACAAGTCAGTTTTTTAATTTGCTAATCGAGCTGGTTTTCAACTGTTTATAAACTGTTATCATCTATCAACTGTATGAGTATTTATGTCGATTAATTAAGTTTAACAGAATCGTATTTTCTTGCGTTAAGTGGAACGCTTTCTTGTCAACCAACGTATTGTGTACACATGAATGTAATCTTACTGACAAAAATAACATACAGGAATTGGATTCTATACTCGGAAGATGTTTATAATAATGCCAAATTAGCAGAAAATAAAAAAGAATACAAATTCAGAGCATTCAATAAATATACACTGCTATTTTTCCCCGCGCAGTCAACATTTACATTGAAAGGTTTAAATAAGAAATTTAATAAAACTAATAAAAATGACAGAAATTTGTTAAAACATGACCATTTTTTAGCAAAAATAATAGAGAAAATTTTTTATCTACACACACTTGACACAACAGACATCTAAGCGAGAATATTTTAATATATTTCCGCCAGTTTTGGAATAAATGGGATTCAACGGATATAAATTTATAATTTTAAACCTGCTTTGTAGAGCTAGGGACAGGTTATAAAGGAGTTAAATAGTAACACGCACGTTACGGAGTAGGTTTTAAAATTTTTTATCAGAATTTTCATTAAATATGATTTTTTGATGGGACCTATTATGCAAGTACAGTCAATGCCTCACCGATATGGGTAACGAGAGGCTGTACGCACGTCCTAAGCCTTAGCCAATTAATGGGAAAACATATCTCGTAAATTTTGATTTAAAGCAAATTAACTGATTTTCTTAAAATGGTTTCAAATATTTATTTTGTCTATGCATTAAGATTTAAAATTCTGCTTCATTTTTTTATATAAATCAACAAAACGTGTCCGGACAAGTTGTAACATGTTGCAACTTGTTTATTGCAACAACCGAGATTTTAGTTATTAGAACCTTTCTTATTTAAATGATAACGTGCAAATTACTCTTTTCTATTTACAAATTTTTTCCCTGAATATAAAAATCGATTTATCACCCTCAAAGATTAGACCACACCCTAAAGCTTCACCTAAGAAGCAGTTTAACAGAGGCCGACAAAAAAGGAAATCTGCCATCCTAGTTGACACTCGAAAAATAAGCATCAGAAAAAGAACATGAAGATGTACTTAATAGAAAACGAAAAAGAAGAGAAAGATAAAGGAAAGGAAAAGGATAAAGGAAAAAATACAAAAATTAAGCAAAAAGCTAAAATAGATGAAGAAGAGGATTTTGAACTCAAATACAGATTCTGAAACAGAAAAGCGGTTTTAACTTGCGAAGAGGCTTTCGACAACTCTAGTGAGGAACGGGCGCAATGCTTAGTTTGCAAAATGTGGGCACACTTTAAGTGTGTGAGGGAAAACTATCTTTTGTTTGCGTTAACTGAAATCCGTATGAAGATTGACTTTTATTTAATTGTTTAATAATTTTATCTTTGTTTTACGATAAACCACTTGATATCATTCAGTGTCAGTATATCAAGTAATAATCATCACCAAATGTATCTAAAACAAGGTCGTTTTTATTGTTACTGTTTGCCCCAAGTCCTGGGCAAATTGTAACAGATAAATATTTGTATTGGTATTGGTATTATTCAATTATCGCAAGGCACACGAGGGCTATCTGCCTAAAGAGAGGGATGCCTTCGTGGAGGACTTTCTAAGGGAAACTGGCTCGTATACACGTTACACATGGGGAAAACCATAAAAACGCCCATGTAGCCAGCCCATTCGCGGGATTCGAACCTCGGACCGAACTACCAGTGTTCAGCGTCTTTACCGCTCGACCGCTGGTGGGCCAACAGATGAATAGTTTTGATAAAATATTTTTTTATTCTAAAATCAGGAAAATTGCTGAATGTTTGTTTTAGTAATATGATGAACGAATAGTTATAAAAAATTGCAGTTATAATCAAGAAATTTGAAATATTTTTAAAAATAGACACATTTTTATAAAAATTAAAAAAAATACTCAGTGTTCGAATATTTCTTTAAATGCGTTAAATATGATGCCCGAAAGCAAAAGCGTTCCAAGTTTTATAATTAATTTGCACTTTTTTTGACAACAGATGATGTTAAAACAAATATCTATATATTGTTGCGTGCGTACGGGCTCGTAATAGATTGAATGCACAAAGGTCGTATGATAGGTTGATTAAATGTATTTTATCAAAAGAAACACTTCAGTGTTCTCTAAATTTCCACAGAAATACTTGTACAGGTGTTTCCTAAAACACAGAGTTACAATCAGTAGTTACACTTTAAACTACTAAAAACGTTAAACACAACTCAAGCAAAGCGTATCTAAAAGGCGAAGCTTTCAATACTCCGAAGTCTCTAACTCACAACAACAACTGCTGAGGGCAGATGCTCTCTCAGGTGTTATACAGTTTTCCCCCGGCCGCCGAGGTATTTCTAGTACTTTCTGCTTCTCGAAATTACTAGAAGGCCTATATGAGGGCCAGATACGGTTACAGCTAATATAGTGACCAATGATATTTATTCAGTTACAATACCTATTACGGATATACAGGAGCGGGACCAAAAAATCACCAAATATTAGCAAAGTTTGGCGACTTTTGGCGATTTCTTGCTTAATTTGGCAACAAAAATTATTTGTCAAAAACGTTGGCAGCTTGGCGATGTCCCGTCAATTATTGAGATAGCCATTTACTCAATGTTGAATAGATTTTCACCTATGTTTTTACTTTTTTTTGCACAACATCCTCCCTCGAGATTTTCATGTTACATTATACAGAAAAATAAATAATTTCACATGTAATTTCAGTAAAATTATCAGTATATGTACAAAATTTGTAAATAATATTTATCATACTTTCGTAAATATAGAGGCCGAGCTATAATGGCTTCTGGGAATTTAATGTACTACTACATTGTGATAGAAAAGAAAAAAAACGGTACAGTTAATGGTATACTGGAAAGCCTTCCTTTGTACAGAGTTGTATAGAAAAGTGTACAGTGTTTTTGAATTCTTCATTCGTTCTATGAGATAGTCTAGATGTAGGATTGATTTATTCGTTCTTTGAAATATTCTCTTCGAGACACGGCCAATGTCTATCTTGTAATTCACTTGGGACATGTTCATTTTACCTTAGCTAGATTTTCTGAGTTATAACAGCAGCAATGTATTGTTTCATTAGCATTTAAATCTCAAGTTAACTAGAGTGCGGCGTCGAGTTTGAAACATATTCCATAATTATGATAATGATCTAAAAATGCCGTTACCAACAACCAACAATACTAATCGCCGCCTCATAACTGACCTTGAAGCCATATGATATGAGTTCACATTTTAGTTTCCTACGTTTAGAACCTAACATATTCCTAAGTTTATTGACACTACAAACATTTATAATAAGTCTAATAATACGATAAACAGTATTAATAGAATTTTAATGGCTATCACTCATTTGGGTTAGGTAATGTTATTCAAACTATTCTAAACTAACCTTTATAAAATATCGAATTGACGAAATCTGAATGAAACGTTGTTCATACTTACTGATACAGGTGCCACTTCCCCAGCGTCTTTCTGTCGAGGACTAGCAACGTCTGTTGAAGACAGCGAATGAATATTCGTGCTTTTCAGGTCATCAGCTGATACAGAACGTTGACTGACGTAATAATCTCTGGATTGTTGAGGAAAGAAACTAATATCTTCAAAACTTTCGTGATGAGCTTCCAGCATGTAGCTTGGCGAGGGTTCCTCGTTGGAGTATACTTGACTCCTAATTCGAACATTTTGAAGAGATATTAGTCAGGATTTTAAGAGATTTCAGTCAGGTAAATTTTAAACCATAACTCTTCTTCTAGTATTTAAGCTACCAAACTATTTGGCCTATCACTGAAGAAATAAATGCGTATTACATAAACACTGAGATTACTTACAATTTCAAAAATTTCAGTGATGTAACAAGCAAGAAATGAATGGAAACAGTTTTGAAGATTTTATGTTAAACTGTTATTACAAAGTGGGAAATAAATTTTTGTATTTTAGAGCTGCTTATTTTATGTCTTTTACATAAATGTAAAATATTCATTAACAACGTACTATATGAATAACTTTTGAAACATAAAATAAATAATTCATTATCAGATGAAAATTTTCGTCAGATCATAAGTGTAAAAAGGAGTTAATTATATCTACTGAAATATTACCTTTATTAATTAATGCAGATAAATTTGTTTGAAATGGTTGCATACAAGTTATTAAAAAAGATTCAGGTTGTGATAATTTTGGTCCTGTGACACATTATAAAATACTCGAACTTAAATTCTTATTAGAATCACAAAGGAAAAAATGTTTGCAAGAAAAGTGTTTTTTACACTAAAATTAGTCAATTAAAATTATTTAATCTCATTCGAATAACTGAGTAAGAGTTTTGGGGACCATTTGGAAATGTTTTTAAAGCGATCTACGCAAGCTAGGTTTTCAAATGCAACTTTCTAAAGCATTTCTTTTATGACAAAAAAATATAAGTGCAGATGAGAGAATTTCAAATATTCATTTGCATAAATGTTAATATTCGAAAATTTTTATTTAAGGTTGTACGTTTTTTGAATTTGTTCAAAATTTTCCATAACTAATTTTTTCCTTCAAGTGAGAGTGGTAGAAATCACATAATTTTGAGAAAATTTCTTTCAGAGTTAATTTTGCATAACATAAACGTGATTTTTTTTTCTTAAGAGATCTGTATTAGGTTAAAAAATTGTTTTTTTATAATTTTCTTTGGAAAGTGTATGCGTAAATATTTAAATTTCTTATATTTTTGCTGAAAAAGTAACGCGTGACCAAAATTATTGAGCCTGAAACCTTATTTTATTTGATTCATTTCTTGAACTGGTAGTAAAAGTTTTCAATAATTAGTTGAAAATATGGTACTTTTCCGTTTCGCCGGCGCAAATCTCGCCAAGCAGTCTTTGCTGGCGACAACATACAGTATACACATAAAAAATGTTAATAAATGTTAGTTTTAAGAATTTTTTAATTTTGAAGGTATAAACAGTTTAGTATGGTTTAAAATTTTGTAAAAGCCAATAAATAAAGACAATAAATTTGTAAAAAGACATTAATTTAAGAATTTACTATGCTATCGCGGTTCAACATCCTGATTCGCCGGTTCGTATCACGTAACCCCAAGGGATCTCATCTCACGTAAACTACGCTACAAAAATATAATTCTCTACACTAATTTCAAGTTAAATCTTAATTTTGATTACAAGTTTAAATGCAAGAATTATTTCAATTCGTACAAATAGCTTACTGAGAAACTATGTAAAACCGTAGTGCTTCACTTCGCTAGTGCATTCTCATTAGAATGGATAAATTTAACCCTTGATTTTGCCTTTTCTATATTTTCACCTGAGCGGTGTGATTGCATCCTAATTGACTTAATTACCGCGAATGGTCTTAGGGCATAAAATTTAATTATCTTTGTAAATATTCTATGTAATTTTATGCCAGTATTGAAAGAAACAATCAATCTGGTAAGAAATGGCTGCGACTTGTTTTGAAAATGAGGTGTAAAAGGTTACCAGCGAAGATATTCCGTTTGGCATCAGTTGTACCATTATTGGCGACTTTATCGTTTGCGCCGGCAAAACGGAAAAGTACCGAAAATATTTTAGTCGAGCATTTTTTACGAAGGAACTTCTGTGTATTCAGAGTTATTGAAAAATATATGATAAAAATGTTAAAGCAGGCACAGGGGACAGAAATAAGCAGATTTTCAAACGGGATGTCTGAACTCAAAATTGTGCATTGAGGTAATACAGAGCATTCTTGGAAGGCATTATGCTGTCTTAAATCATATTTCGCCAAGCAGATGTCGAGCAGTATGCATTGCTAAGCGAACTTATAGCTCACCGGCGGCTTACTAGGACTAATCGGGTATCGTCCGGAATCTGCAACTGTACAACGCGAGAACTCTTTGGCGCTTCAGAAGCGCAGCATCAGGAGTTTAATAGAGACTTTTGTTGATGTTGTATACTGACATTTGAGCATCTTAAACTGATATTTAAACATTTTGCACAGTACAATAATTGTATACTGATGCACACACTGCAGCTTTTACATAGATATTATGCACTAATCATTAAACATTACCGTGGTGCATTTTATATGCACCTAGATTTAAACATTGGGAATATAATGTTACAATGATGTTTGTTTTACACATGCGTACGTTGTTGCACGTACGTAAACATTTCACACTAATAGTCAAGAATTTTGCACTCATTTTACTCTTGATTACAGACCAGTTCTACAATGATACATATATATACACATAAATATATATATAAATAAATAAGTAAAAACACGTACGCACATAAGTTACCCTAGAGAATTTTACATATATAGTTGCTGTGGATACGTTAGTTACTTCAAAGTGTTCATATACAAACTTGCATCATATACACACTACACAAGAGCAGTAGTACCATACAACAAGACATCCATGAGTAAGACAGTTAGTACTGAAGATTGGGCAGAAATCAGTAGTGCACTAGGTGACATGACAAAGGTCCTGTCCTAAAGCTTGCAATTTTCCCATTATGAGTTTAAGTTTTTCGAGTACAGCAGGCTGCTTAATGAAGAAGCGCATGAATGATGCATCATCAACTGACAGCCGCATGTGCTACTCGTCTGTGAGTGGGTATGCTGTTATATAATGGCCTGGAGTACCAATCTTGCTGCACACTAAGAGGTTAGATGACACAAATCTCCTTTTACAGAAATACTCTGGGAAGAATAATCTCCTAGTACCTCATTTGAACAGTTGCTCCATTTCCATTTGCAATGCCATAGGTAAAAATGTAGTTCAGCGTTCGTGTAGCGATGCATAATACTCGAAACCCGCAAGAAGAATGCCGATTTTCGCCAGCACAACGTTTAGCGTTCGTGTAGCGATGCATACCCCTCGAAATTCGCAAGGAAAATGACGACTTATTCCACAACGTTTTTATCTTACTAACGCATTGTTCAATTTGGGCATAGATATTCAATTACCAAATCCTCTTATTTCTTTTTGCCATACTTTTTTTAATCGCTCTCTCTCTATATATAATTTATTAATTTATAATGTAATGCAAACTTAATTAATATGTAGAATTTATGCATAATTGACACAGTATAAGACTTATATGTTTTAATAATAAGTACTTACTATTTCTCATAATAAACGTTCACTACTTCTCACGTTTGTAATCACATTCTAATACATTTTAGATAAAAGCGGAAAGCACGAGCCGAAAAAAAAAAACAATTAACACAATAAAATCCGTTGAAGCGCTGTCGGGATGTTGCAAGCTAGTGCAAGACAATCCGCTGTTACGAGAGAGCTCAGTGTGCATAGAGTATCATCAACAGAAATCACTATCAAAGGGATCTAAACCCATGTAGAATACGTGGGTCTGGTCGACGGAGGATTACACCAACGGCAGACGACCGCTTCCTGTTGCTATGTAAAAGATGTCGTAGATCACTAACAGCAAGACAGCTGGCGTCGCATCTCTCTGCTGCTGCAGGCAGCCCATATCCCGCCAAAATATATCGCCTCAACCGCATGAAGGTGGACTGTACGCCTGACGTTTGTCTATATCTATCGGTTGAATTGGGCCTGTGAACATCGCAGCTGGACACCAGAACAGTAGAGCCACGCAGTCTTTACGGACAAGGCTCGATTTAACATCCAAAGCGATTACCGAAGGACAATGATATGGCAAGAGCCAGCGACATGCTATCGGATGTCAAACATCATCGAAAGATACCTTTACAGAGGATTAGGTATCTTGGAAGCGCTGGGTTAACAACGAATGGGGAAATTCTACACCCTCTTGTACTTTTATCACTGCAATGGGCAGCGACGCGATATTTGTGGTCGGTAACGCCTGCTCGAGTGGTGCGAAGTTACCTGGAAAGTAAAACCATATCACATCTGCCGTGACATGCTAGATTAGCGGACCTGAATTCCATAGACCACGTGCGGGACTGTTGGGACGACAAACACTAGGTTGCAGCGTGCCTTAAGGCACCCTACACAAGCTCCGACATGAATTACTACAATGGGCACTACTACCACAACAAGCGATCAACGACACTATTGCTAGCTGGTTTCGCCGTTATCAAGCATGTAACTCAGCTAGAGGACATCATACCCGTTATTTTCGTGATATTTCCATTACCCATTCTTTCGACCCGTTTTGTCTTTCGCAATGTTGATGGTCGTATACATGTGCATTTGTATGTCTTTGCTTTATTGTTTGCTATGTGCTCTAGTAATGCCACACCAACTCCTTGGATCCCAATTTCACCGCATATCTATTAAATAGCTTTTGTTTTACTTCGTGTTTTGCCTTTGTTGCTTATTTTTTGAGCAGGACTGTAATATTTGAAGATAGTTTTTATTTGATTCTGGCAGATTTCAAGCATAACTTCTGCGATTCCAAACTCAATAAAATTTGCTATATGTTTCTATGCTGCATATATATCTTAAAGTTATGAACTTTTAAGGTTTCACAAGTGCTTATAGTCTGGTAATACAGTTTTTAGTAAGGTGCCCCGAAAGATTGAAAATCTAATGAAACTAGAATGGTAGTACAAAGAAAAGCTAGCATTTACTCACTGAAGCTAATAAATGCAAGAAATTCGAGCCAATAAACCTTAGATAAGTCGTGTCATGAATTTAGAAGAAAGTCAAAAAGAATAGAGAAAGCAAAAATAAGTTTTGCTTAAAAAAACAAATCCACCTAAATTTAGAAAGAAAACTACAATGCTGCAGTTACTGTACTACATGCACTGATTAGTACTTTTATTAGGCTTAATAATTAACAATTTATAGAGCAAATACACTTATATTCTACTTTTAAGTATTTATTGCTTGAGTACAAATTTTTAATAAATAAAACTATTTACATTTGTTGATCGTCTTCAACAGTTTCTGGTGGTCTGGAATATTCTATATCCAGTTGGCTATTTGAAGACACTCCATCTGGCGCTACTCTTTCCTTGGCTATTCAGATACAGAATGATCCGTAAGGAGTTTATTTAAAATAGAGTAAGTAAAATCAAGTAGTGAAAAAATTTCTAACTAGATTATTATTATTATTTAAATATAACTTACGAAAAGAATCTATTGTATTTATCTTGAATGGATCTCATAGTCACAGACTTGAAATAAGATATTTAGTATCGAATTTTATACTTATTTACAGATTTTTTTATGCTAATTTGTAGTTTTATTTTCTTCGCTCATTTTTCAGAATAAAAGTCGGATATTCAATAAATCTGCCTAATATATTATTCAAGTTTATAACTTTAAATTCCATGAAATATTAGGCCATTAGCGCAATTACTTTGGCATAGTCGGGCAGCATTTTAAACTGAAGGGGAAAAGATTAATGACGTATAATAAAAAAAAAAAAGATTTATTGCATATATACATACTATTGCAATCATATTTTATACTTTATTTAGGTGTTTACACCAAAAATAAATCAATATAACCATTTAGAACCCATATTTTGTTTCTGGTGCAAATTTCGTGGCGATCTTTTTAAGAAAAGATTCAAAGCAATTATTCCTTTTAGCGATTGTATGGTAAAATACTGTATTGCTGCGGAATTTTATAGCGGTATTTCCCATTGCAGGCAAATCCCACAATCACATATTTTACAGCTGATTTTATGATTAAAAAATATTACGATTTCTCTTATAAAATCCGTTTTAACGAGAAACATAGCGAAAATTGAAGTTAAAGTTAAAATTGAAGTTGTTAAAACTGAAGAATCATTTGGCGCTTGGTTGCTATATTTTGGCGCATATTGAAGACTTGGCGACTTTTACCAATTTATTACACTAATACGTAAGTACTCTACATTTTTACTAGAATAAATTTAGATATATGAAGACCGAAATTTAAGATTACAGTTTTTTAGGATTTTTATTAAACATTTTCTTTTCCCGCAGCTTCTCTGTAATATAGTTACACATTCTGTTATAATTACCTGTGGCTTTTAAAAGGACTTGAAAATTACGAAGTCATTTGACATATGTTAAACATAAGTAGGGGGAAAATAATTTTTTTAAGCTACAAATCCGCCTATTTTTAATATAGATATTTTTGATTTGGTAAAAATGTAATGGTTTATCTCATCTCTTTCTCAATAATTCAATCGGGAAAACAAAACAAAACCGTATTTATGTAGGTTGCCGTATTCAATTTAGAAATTCTAACTACTCACCTTCTCCCGTGGGCTTATTAGGACCAATTTTGCACGTTTTAGGGCTGTTTAGTCGCCTATTTTAAAAGCAAGGAACAGAAAAACAAATCGACAGGATCTTACACTTCATACTTTATATTAAGGAGTAAATTTGAATACTCCACAGTTTGCCGAAATTTCTTGAGAAACATTTAAAGTAGTGAACGAGCGGGACATACACTATGTCCAGCCCTCAGGAAAAGGTTGAAGACATGTTTGGATTGGTTAGAGTTCATAAATGTGCTAACAAACACCGTTGAGAGTGGATATCTTTACGCAGTTGTCGCATTAAAAGCAACAAATATTTAATTTTTTGTTAATATTTTACCCGTAATAAAGAAAAATCTTCTTATCTAGAAGCAAGTTTATCAACCGTTTTGGTAATCAACATTTTCGAAGAAAGATGTTTCTCAGTGATCATAAATAAAATATTCAACTACAGTGTGTCAAGTTTGTTAATTTAAGTGAAGTCATTTAAGATTTTTTTACTTACACATTATGTTAGCTGGAGTTTTGAGATGTTTCCCGTAATGCCTGATAAGAGAAAGTGCCGGAAGATTCTTTGGGGAGATATCGATGTGCAATAGCTGATCCAAGAAGTCGGTAACTTCTTTCAGCTGCTCCTGAAGAATACTGCATACGGCTTGTGAATCATTCACTTGCTGCTGGAGTTCTGCAAGCTGCTGTTTGTGGATCTGAAGGCATGAAAACACATATTTCTGTATTTTTAAGTCAATGCATGATTTATTTATTATTACCCGTAGATAATATTAAAATACTTGTGTAAGGTAAAAAGCATATATAAATCAAAATCTTATTTTTAATTTGAAATAGTTTCTTAAGTTTATACTTTAAGTTAGTTACTTCCATTGTTTGTCTTAAAATAGTGTGCGCTTATGATAAATCGCTTTAAACTGCATCATTTAAAAATTAATCTGTCTCATGTGGTTCTTGCATAATGCTAATGACGAAGGTATTTACATAACGCCTCAAACAATAATAATTTCAAATTTGCAAATCCAAACTTAAAATTAATTAGAAAATCAATCGAAAGCTTAACCAAAACTAAATCATTCTTAACCAAGCGTTCTCCTATGGCGTATTCTATTTTATACATTCAGTTGTTCATTACATAATTTAAAAACATAAAGAATTAGTTCAAATTAAACTTTTTATACATTTCAAATTTTAATTACACATATTTGATTTTATTATAACTGTTCATGTTCATAAATAATTAATATTTTTAATATGTACTATATACAAAATATATAACAATAATAAACATAATAATAATAAACATTGTATTTTCTTAGGATGGTACACTAAAGCAATTTACGAATTCGATTTTCAAATTACATAAAGGGTTACGAAACGGATTACTGTAATCCCAAGTAACTTAACTTAGATTCCTTTTTTGATCAAATAATTGGTAAGAATTTCCCTTTTCTTTTATAAATAGATGAAATTATTTATTTGTACAAGAATTTTGATTCGCCTTAAGAAAAAAAAAAAAAAATTTACTTTTCGTTTTGTTAGGGAATTTTCCGGGAATTTGCTTTTTGTTTTGTTATTGACAGAATTAATTAATTATTTTTATTTAGTTTAACACACATTTTAATAAATTCATTAAACTCTAAAGCTAAATTATTTGTTTATTGCAAATTAAAATGTAATAAGCTCGAAAATTACATAAAGCTAGTAATATATGAAACCATTTTATCAATATATCATTTTCCGTAAAAACTCGTGAGATTTTGTAAACAGTATAGATGAGCAAACAGATGTTAGCAAGCTAATGCTTGAAATGCAAAACAGATATAAAAACTGATAGGAAAGATTTTTCTTCATTGCTTTCACAGTTTATAAATTAAACTTTTAACTATCAGACATAATACTGAAGCTTATTATTGAATTAGTTTTTAGAGATTAGTTACATCATTAATTTTGCCTATAAATTACATAAATTGATCTATGATAGCAGAGTAACCAAATTATGTTAAAATAAAATTGAACTATTATAGCAGAGTAACCGAATTAAGTTAAACACTTTTCCCCTTTCACTGCATCTATCTTTCCATATCTACTGAGTGACATACAGATAACTGGAATTGGAATGATTTACGACATGAACACTTCCAGGGCATATGAAAAGAACCAGTTACTTTCTAATTTAAAATTTATGGAACTTGAAGCAGCTGGATGGTTATTGATGTTTATGGAACGGGGACATAACCAATGATAATTACAAATGTTGTAACTTCCATATTAAGACTCTAGAATGATTCATTTTCCAGTTTTAAAATAAACCTCTACAGAAAAAGTTCTTGATTTAAGTGCAGGGGGTTTGAATATTTCAGTGTTTAGCCAGTGGAGCTATAGTAATTACTGTCGTAATTTGCTTTATCTGTAGAGCTACTTACCTTTATTGAAAGATAAATATTCTATGATCATAAATTCGAAATTCAAGAAGAACAGAGGCAGTTAACAGAATAAGATTTAAAATGTTATTAACTGCAAGCGAATGACATGAGTTGTTAATAACATGAACATATGAATAACATATTTATATGAGTATTATTAGAAACTTGATGATTTACATTTGAAACGAAATATGTAAAACTGTAAAATATTTCGTTAAGAGTGAACTATATAATGTGCACGTATTTATAATTTATAAAAAAAAGATGATTCCAATAATGGTATACGATGAATAATTGATGCAAACATCATATTTAACTATAAGTAATAGTTGGGTGCTTTATGATTATTTGCAACCCCAAAAGAAAAGTCACGAATTAAACTGGTGTCCAGTTTTTCACCAAGAAAATGCCTGAAAAGCAAAAGTCATTTCCAAAATGGCGGCGCACTAAAAATTTTAAAGAAGAGCAGTCAATCAATAAAATTAAAAAAAGCAAGTAACGTCTGTAATAAAACACTTTTTCGATAAAACTTTCTTTTTTGTGAAGTTGTTCTCCCCATGCATACAGCGATCTGTTTTCGCTTCAATAAACATAAAAGAATTGCACAAACTCGGCGTTGCCCAACGGCCAAAACAGCCATTTGTTACGCGCGTACTTGAGTTTTCTTTTTGTTCTGTTGTTCTTACATGTACACAACGATCTGTGATGAGCATAACTGGGTTGCTATATAAGTACATTTTAGCAACACAGTGGGTTGCCACACAACATTTTGGTGACATTTTGCTTTGCCTCATGAATACTTTCGAGGGAAAGCAAATAGTCAAAAAACGGCAACAGTTGTTAACTGGAAGATATTCATCGAATTTAAATAAAGGCTGAAAGCGTATAAAGTAAATATAGGTTTGAAATTTAAAAAAATAGCAGACAAAATATTTTAAAAACGGTTTTTAATAATTACTTTTAATTCTTCAGTTAATTTACTTCTCTTATAATAAAATTACTGTTCTTAATGTTAAAAATGAATCCTTATATATTCAGGTCAAATTTCTATTAAGTAGTTGAATTAATTTATTCTTATTCAGGTTGAATCTTTTGTGACTAGACCCAAGAAAGTGCTAAGTATGTGATAAATCATATTTGTATGAAATTTTTGCATCCCACGAGAATCTTTAATAAGAAAAGCTATGCCAATAAACTTCTCAATGTATACGTTGCGTCATGTTAAATGCCAAGATGCCAAATGTTCTTGCACACAAGAACTGGAAAACAACATTCGACATGAAATTTCAGAAATTAGTGATGACATCTTGCAGGCTTCTCTTCAAAGATAAAGCGTCGCATTCGGTTATGACTGAACGACTCTCAAATTCTCTGTTCCAGTTTCTATGGAATCGACATTCTTCTCATAGTGTAAGGTACGTAATCATATATGTATGCTCAAAATTTTAATAATTTAATTTTAATAAAGTCGTTGAGATAATGGTAAGTTCTTGGGTCCAGTACCAAATGAATCATCCTATATTAATTAACTATTTATTTCTTCACTTTTCTCAGGAGGATTGGATTTCACTCAAAATATTCATAATATTAAATAAAAGTAACAAGATGTCAGAATGCTGACCTGTTGGTTTGAAACGGCTGTAGATCCATGTTTGTTTCCTTTCAATTCATTTCTCGCTTGCCTGTGTTTGTGTCGTGGATGGATTATTTTTTCTAATACATCTTCTTCAGACAAAACTTTCCTTCCTGTATGCTAAAAAAGAGGAATGAAGTGAGGAAATCTTTAAACGTTTTAATGATTCAAATTCAAAATAATGAAAATAGTTTAGGTACTTGTATATTAGCTAGAATCCAGCGATACAACGCCAGTAATCTATTGGCGCCTTTCTGCGATGAAATAATTATTCATATCAGAATAATTATGCAAACGTTTGCAAATGTTTATAGCAAAGCACATAATTGCTTAAAAAGAAATGCTCTCATGTGAGACTTTCTAAGGATTTTATTTTAGTTAGAGATATGGAAAATGATATATTGACAAAATAGTTTCATATATTACTAGCTTTATGTAATTTTCGAGCTTGTTACATTCTAATTTGCAATAAACAATTAATTTTGTTTTAGAGTTTAATGAATTTATTAAAATTTGTGTCAAAATAAATAAAAAAGAAATAAATTAATTATGACAACAACAAAACAAAAAGAAAATTGCCTGCTAATTCTTAAGGCGAATAAAATTTCTTGCGCAAATAAATAATTTAATCTATTTATAAAAGATCAGGGAAATTCTTATCAGTTATTTGCTCAAAAAAGGAATCTAAATTAGGTTACTTGGGATTACAGTAATACATTTCGTAACCCTTTATGTGATTTGTAAATTGCTTTAGTGTACCTTCCTAAGAAAATTCCTTATTAAATAAAATTTCTAATCAGGATTTCTGATTTGCATCGAATAGATATTGTTTGGTAACGACATCAAAATCACGTCAGAAAGATTGTCCTCTGTAAGAAATCTGCTAAACCAGAAGGAAAGTGTAATTCCGAGTTCTTATTCTAACATTTGTCGGCGATTGCGTTTTCATCACACATCTTTTGTCATGTGCAGTTTCAAAGGGTGCAGTCATGTGCTTGAGAAATGGTTTGGTTATTTCATTATGACAAAGCATGCGATACCGTCTGCCAAGGACCTTCGTAATAGACCTTCTAATGGAAACTAACTCATATCCACATTACGCTCATGGAAAACCACGAAAATACATTTTCAGCCAACTCATTCGTCTGTCATCGAACCCATGTCGAACTATTATAGTGTTCAGTGACTTTATCGCTAGGACACTGGTGGGCGCATATGAGATTTAGATTTAGTGATGATCAATAATTTGAAGCTTTCAAAGCCCTAAAACTGATAAAACGTTTAATTCAAATTTTAGGAAAATTATTTCAGTTGGCAACCACTTTTCATTATGTTCAAAGTATCTCAATTTTAAATTCTAAGGGGTTTAGACGCTAAAATCGCTGAATGCTGATAATTGGATAAAGATTGGAATCTTAGTGAACAGGTAGGCATTTCGTAGTTTTCTCATATGTTTCGTGAATACCAGCCGATTTTTCTTAGAAAGTTTCCCATGAGAGCATTTCTTTTTAAGCAAACAGTTCTTATGTGCCTTGTTATAAACATTTGTTCCAGTATAAAAAAGAATCAGATTGTTGTGGTTTCAATGCATTTCGGATCCAAATATCAAGTAGTGCAGCTTATGTACTACACTCTTAATTTTCTGGAAATAATTTAACATTCCACAATTAGCGTTTATCTGTGTTAACTTTTAAAATAATTCACCCTCCTCTGTACGTGCTTTGGCTTCAGAAAGATTCTGGGGAAATGTAAAATATCTATGTTGCCTCTCAAATGCCTTCTGTCCATTGTTAAGGAAATGAATTTCACGATTCGTGAATTTTAATTATATACTTCATTTATTAAATTTCATTTGTTTCTTAATGAATATGTATATAAAGGCTATATTCTTAAATTTATTTTTTATTACTCGGATATTTGAAATCTTGATTCAATTACTAACTTTTGATATTATGTAAAAATTTTCCTTTATCTTCTTATTCTTATATGAAAGGTTTGGAAAATGCTACATCTCAAAAATAGTTTATTATGCTTTAATATTCAAAATTAAAATATTTCTTTCTATAAAAAATAAGTTTGAGGTAGAAGCATAATTTTTATGTGATTTTTAGACTTTAGCTGTGGAATCTATCTATTATATACCACATACTTTACTTGTATTAATCCCATATTTTGGATATATCGAAGACAAACCTCGATGTATTGCACTAGCTTGAATTTCATGATCAATACCGTACAATTCTTTCCTGTGCTTTCATCAGTAGAAAAGTAAGGAAAGAAAATTGCATAAATGTCGCAAATAATAAAATTCATAATAAAACGGCAATGAAAATATTTCCCGATGAATACCTCTCGTCTTGTTTTATATAAGGCCTGCAGTTTTTCTGTAACATCCTGATCCCCTAAGAACATAATGCACATTTCTTGTATTTTGCTTTGGGTAAGTTTGAGTCTTTCGTCTTTTTTCTGATATTCCAACTTCGTCGCTTCCATTTCTTCGACCGCGGTGGTCAGCTTGTCGACTAAGGAATTGATTTCCTCGGACATTTTATTCAGGCTGCATTTTTCCTGGTTCAATTCCATTTTGAGAGCTTCCCCTTCCATTTGGCTCCTAAAATAAAACATACGATCATTTTTCAGGCAATTAAAATGAGTAACAAAATCTGAAATTATAAACTATTCATTTACTTTAATTAGGAATTGTTAACATAAATGTATGAGATATTAAACTACAATTTTGCAACGTCTTTAGCTTTCTGCTCCCTTTTCAAGACATAATTTGCTCAGCAGACTGTTCGAATTTGTTCAGTGCCTCCTATTCTTGCAATATAATACCTTTTGAATGTAATCTGTAGATATTGGCTGAAATGCAGGAAAATGTTTAGGTACTTAATTTTATTGATTAACATTATAAAATTACATGCAATATTAACCAGTTTGTGTAGATTTAATACAATTTGTAGAAAGTTACGTGGGTAATGTTTAAAAGTTTGTTTCAAAAGTGTTAAATGACTAAATTTTAAAAACATTTTCTTATTGCCCACTTACTTCTCAATACACCTTCGTTGCCGTTTTAATTGGTCCAGTAACTTTCTTTTCCTCTCGGACCTCCTCAGCTTCCACTCGTGGGCATTAACACCTATCCCGAGAAACTGTGCATTTAACGAAAATAGTTTACACCAGCGGTTCTCAACCTTTCGACAAACGCGTACCATCTAAATAAAAGCTGAAAATTTAAGTACCACCGCTACATTTTTCAATTTATCAATAGAAATATTAAAATTAAATTTGCCGTTTGCACAACCGATTTGGCTATTTGTATGAAATATGCATTCATAAAAATATTTTAGATTAAAAATGGTTTACTATTTTTATTATAAAAATTTAAGTTATAATACTTTATTTAAGTTATAATACTTTAATTCTAAAATTTAGTGCGAAGTTTGAGCCTGTTTAAGAGAGACAAATTTCTTTGTGTTTGGTCTTATTTTCACTTAAATTTAACAGGAAATTAGGATCCACTTTTAATTTTGTATTGTATTTAATTTTTAAATATAACACGGAAGAAAACCGTACCACCAGTTGAGAACTTCTGGTTTATAATATATATAGAATAAAGCTTTTTTCTTTCGTTGTCAGAGAATAGTAAATGAATGTGCATTTGTGCCCTGCTTCGAGAGTTTCAGGATCAAGGAACTGTAACACGGCGTGACCGCTGAAATGGAGTATTTGTTTATGGAGGTTTCACTGTATTTGAAGATCTGGGCAATTACTGATTAGAAAAATATCCCTTGCTATCTAAATTATTATTCTTGTTACTTATCTTTTCGTAATATAAGCAGTTTCATAATTCTTTGAATTGTCACTATTAAAAAATTGTAATGCGAATGTGACTAATTGTGCGCTGGATTCGCCCATTTTGAACACACGCGTAACTGAATAGCAACATTCTAATATCTAGCACATATAAAGTCTGCAAATAATACAGTGATAACTGATAATGCAACCGTAATTATATAATAATTTTTGTATAATTTATATTTTCTAAAAAAGATATTTATTTTACGCAGTTTATATAAAATGTATGAAAGCAGAAATAAGTATAACTTTTGTGCAAGCTCTAAAATACTTTCTAGTCTTATTTATTATTCTAACGGTACTAATTACTTTCTTCGCTAGCACTATACATGTCACCAATATGCACTGTACAAATTTTCACAAAATGTATGGAATAAAAAGACTTGCTTTTCATATTCGAAGTTTTTTGTATGTATGAACTTCATACAGAACTCTCATAAAAATGAACCCAGCATTATATTTTGATTCCAATTGTGTACTGCTATTATAAATAATAAATATGTACCAAAATCCATACATTATAAAGAATTATTGCATTTACTTGTGCATGCTGTTGTGTGCATACGATTAGACCTCAAACTAGCTGTTGGAAAATTTATGGTTCGATTCCCGACAAGGGCAGAATTAGTTTTTAAAGTTTTATGGTTCCGAAAAGCCTAATATTCTTTTCAGTGGCGCTTGCATTAAAATATGAAGGACGTGAATCGTCATCATATGCATATGGTCGACTGAATTACTTGTCTCTCTCCAGTCGCTATTTAAATAGGGAAGAATCTGAGAAATTATCGCATTTCCTCTAGCATGCTGTCGTGGTGTAAGAAGTTAGCATGTTCAACTAGGAAGTGGAAAATCAGTGGTTCGAATCCAAGAGAAGTGAAAATTGACATCACGGTTTTCTGCTTGTATCCAATAGCCTCTACAATGTTTTCCAATCTGTAGTGCATTAATTTTATTGCATGAAAACATACAGCAAACTACACGCTTTCAAAAATAAATTAACCATCTAAAATCTTTCTCAGATCGTTAGCTAATTTATTCTCCGATTTACAAAATATATAGAACTAGACTTAAGCTTTACATCCTTAAATATCTAAGGCTATTTTTCTTGTCCTCTTTTACACATTTTATATTTTCCCGAATTACTGCAAAGTACTACTATCTTGTTGATATTTTAAAAATATTCTTTGCCGACCTTTACCGACTATATTTTAAACCGGAGTATTTACTTTGCCGGAGGAAAACTTTCTTTATTTTTCGGGTACAGGCATTGTGGTTGGCAGTTCCAATATTAGATTCTTTTAGACAGAATTCGTTTAATTTTATTTTCTTTTTTTTTTTTAAGGACTCTTCGTTCAAAAGTATACTCCACATAAAAGGAACTTAAGGCAATAAAATGACAATTTTATGGGCGCCACTGGAGTGCTATTTATTATTATTCTTTCCCGGCTAGCGAAGCATGGCAGGAACCTGAATTTAATTCATTCAATTTATTGCGAGTTTTGAAATTGAACTTTTTTTTAATTTATTGGTATACCAAGTAAAAGCCATTGTTAAAATATACAGCTGTGTGGTTGTATTCATTTTATTCTGAAATATTTAGCAACAACATTTTAATGCTAGACAAAGTATAGTATTAGTTACTGTTATGTTAGCCCTGTTTAGTTTGATTTTTAATTTTGGTTACGAAAAGCGTTCGATGGATGTCTGCCATGAAAAGGGTGCCTCCGTAGAGGATTTTCTATGGGAACCTGTCTTGTATTTACTTATTTATAATGAAAGTTCCGAAACCTCCGTACAGCCAGCCTGTTTAATGGATGAAATGCAGCTTAAGGAAAACTACTACAGCTGATTGGTCTTATCTCTTCGATGGGTGGTGCTCCCATTCTCTAACTGTACCTAGTAAAACTGCTACACATTTTGAAAGTATATCCCTTTCGAGTATAATAGCAAAAATGATTGTATTGGATTATTTAATTATGGTAAAACACATTACAGATGACTTTTTAAGAGGAAGGATGCTTTCATGTAGGAGTTTCCGAGGAAAGCAGGTTGATATTCACGTTACACATGAGGAAATCCATGGAAATGTGCACGCACATAACCTGTTTGCCGGGATTTCAACGCCAAAGATGTTTAAAAAGAGACATTTTTAATTTTACAGAATAATTAAGAGCAGACGCAAAATTAAATAACCTAATTAATTTAAAAAAATCTGATGTGTACACCACATGAATTCCTTGTAAGAAATATTAAATTATGCGCATTTTTTCTTGCATTTCGTTTAAACTTATTGGATTGAATTAAATCTACTTCGCCGACAGCGCATAAACCACAATAGAATAAATGCATTCTTTAAAATTCACTCTGTTTGTTTACCATAGCGACACTCTGGCGCTAGGTTCACTTAACAGTATTATATTTCGTTCATATTATATTATAACTCAGAATGCACAAAATTTATATCATTTAAAGAATTAAATTATCGTTACCACATGTTCTATTCAAATACTATAATAAAGCTAGAACGATGTATAAAAGAAATTAAGCAAACAAAACAAAAAAGGAGACAGTTTTTCACAGACGATTGAGTATTTCTCATTCAATTAATTCAGTTCTCACTTCGCGACAAGGCAAAAATACATAAAAACTCAAAATATCTGTATTAAAAATTACGAAGTAAATCTTAAACACTTATTTCCTGGAAAAAATTCGAGAAAGGATTAAGCATGATTTAATTCGCAATAATAATATAAGGCGTTTTCTTTGTTGTCGCGAAGCTACGTTTCTCTAGATTGGCAACAAATCCACTACTCTGCTGTTTCAAATGTAAACAAGCAATGGCCGCCATCAAAAAAATTATTAGGCTTAGCGGCACTTAAAAAACTTTAAAATTGTTCATAATTCTAAAAATATTGCATACAGATTTACTGAAGGCATAAAAACCTTAACCGGAAGATAAGAACAATATAATTCAATCATTTTTAAAGCAAAAATTGTACAATTTACAAACATACAAGAGTAAAGAAACTGAGATCACTGAGCCGGGTAACAGAGTGGATATATATATATAAATATATTTATATACGTTTGGCGCGGCCGATTGCAACCAAAATACGAGGTGCACATCTACATGTTATAGTAGTCCTATATACAAAATTTCAACGTTCTGAGTTTACTCGTTTTTGAGTTATGAGCGATACGTACGTACATACGTTCGTACAGACGCCACGAAAAATTCTCTTCAGAATTCATTTTAAAGGAGTTTTATGATTTTTTTGGAGGAAAAGAGTCTTTTATTCTGTCCTTACATACAGATATCACGCAAAAACATCGTTAAATTGCATTCGAAAGCGGTCAAAATGGAAAATGTGAAAAGAAACATAAGAGCCTATATTTCAATACATATTAATTAACCAGCCAATTAGTTCGTGAGCTTTAATTAATTGGAAAATTTGCTTTTCTAAAAGAACTTCCTTTTGCCTTTTTCAATAAAGCCTAATCCTAAGTACAGCTATTATTATTATTTTTTTAAATAAAAAACAGCATCTTCATTCTGGAATTATAATGTTTTTATTTTCATATCAAGTTAGGGCGAAATTTCATTCATAGAATTATTATATTCTTATTTTCATAGAAAAATATCCATTTGCTTAATGGACACTTTCATTTCTTTTTTTAATCTTTTCTCAAAGATTTATTAATATAAATGTTCAAATTACTTAAACAATACCCTTCTAGCTATTAAATGTTACTGGCAGTCACCAGTGAAAATATGCACTATTAAGATGACAGGGTTATTCATAATTTCGTGAACTATTTCAAAATTTCATAAAAAATAAACTACATAAGTAAATTAAAATTTTATAGTACTGAAGCAGAAGAAAACTCATGAAATTCATTTTTTACGTTTTTCCTTATGTTTGTTATGCCCACTTTTGTTTATACCACAGGTATTTATGCGGTGATCCATTTCAGCGTACATTTGTGATAGTATATTGCAATTGATCTCAGCCTCAGCATCTCTTTGCCATTTACAAAGAACTTTCGTCTGCCCCACTGCCTGCTCTCGTGGTGTAACTGGCAGCACGTCAGTCGGAAGATCCGTTGGTCGAATATCGATTGAAAGATAATTAATGTGTCACTTTTCTCCCCTCCAAAATTCAAGAAGGTCTGTAAGTGAAGTGACAATCTGCAAATGACCAACTGGATCACGCCCTCCTCTCTCCAGTCGTTTCTCAAATGAGGAAGAATGTAAGGAACTTCTGCCATCTCCATTGCGTAGTCTTGTGGTGTAGCTGGTAGCACCTCTGGCCAACAAACCGAGATCTGTCTTCTGATTTCAGGCTACAGCAATAGTTACTTTCTCACATTTATCACTTCATAAATTCTAAAATCTGTGCAGGTTTGCTGAAATCCTGAGCATTAGCAGAAAGTGAAGATGAAAAGCCAATATAATTAAGCATCCCCTTGAAGAAAGTGTCACATAATATTAAATGTGAACACCGTGGTAGTCATCACATTAATGTACTAACTTCTCATTTTATATGACCTCGCCTTAGCCTCATGTGCGGTAAATTCTGATTGAGATGCCCTAGAGAATGCTTCCGATAATGGTTTCTGTGGTAATAAGTCGAAAAAATATTTTTGTTGAGAAATGTAATTGCAATGAAGCCTTGGTCCCTGAGCTTATTCGTTCCTGAAGATAGTTCGTCATCCAAAGTATTCGTAAACCGAAACAGTTTTCCCCATCGTAATTAGTATAAACTGAATTAATGCGTTCCCATTGTGATTCATCTACTATATTACTGCTTTCAGTGCAACTATACCAGTTCTGAATAAAGTGTCTTTACATAATCAGCATATGTTCATTTAAAACTGCAGGTGAAAAACCTGATTATTCCCTGAGATTTTAATATAGCTGCGTATTTATACTATAGATTTTACTACGTTTAAAAATCAGGATATCATATTTGCCGTCCAGAGAAGCATGGCGGTTAACAAAACAAAAGGTATCGTTAGGCTCGGATTTATATTTGGAAGAAGGCATGAACTTTTATAAATAGATAGCATCGAGCTGGAAGACAAAAACCCTCAAAACCCCTTAGAGAGGCTAATGAAAGATAAGCTTAATACAATCCCTTTGGAATTTTATCCTTGGGATGTTAGAATTAAAAAAAACCGGATGGAGTTGAGATAAATTATTCTGCCATAAGGCCTTTACCAATAACTGGTACACTTTATGATCCCAAACATAGTTATCAGGAACCAATTCTGGTGATTGTATCTCCAAACATAGAAATAAGCAGCAACAATGAAAGAGGACATATTATTAGTTCAAAAATTGTAATGCATTATCAAAAACGCGTTATCATTATCCAAGAAATAAAATTTTTAACAGTTACTGAAACATCTGGATGCTTAACATGCGTATGTGAAATCAAAGTAATTACAAAAAAGTTTTACTTTCAGTTAAGACTCTGCATATTCTAAAGTAGCGTATTTGTCTACAGTTAAATTTGTTTTAAGAAGTAATAAATAATGCCCAATATTAAAATTACAGTGCAAATAAACTTTTAATTTAAAATGTCATTTCCCCCCACGCACACAGAAAAAAAGTGATTGAAAACGAGTCAGTTTCCCGTAGAATGTTTTTCACGAAGACATTCCCTTCCTTTAGGCAGATAACCGTTTCGTGCTTTGCCGTATTCTAATAACCACATTCATTCCATAAAACGTACGATTTCATGTCTTTAGATCGCGTCAGAGCGTACTTTGCTAACTGTTAATCATAGCTGCCATCAGATTCTGCATTTTGTTCTATAATGAAACTATTGAAACGAAAAGATGGGAAGTGAATCCAGCATTAGTTCTAGGAATTCTCGACAAAATTTTGTTAATTTAAAAGAGCATGTGGAAAGTAATTACTTGACATGATGCCAAATTAATAATGTGAAATTGGGCATAACTTTCTAACCTTTTCCATAATCTTCTAAGCTGAACCGAAGACATCATCGGTGCAGCTTAGCTCATGCTGCACCGAAGACCGATGATGTCTTCGGTGCAGCATGAAATTCCGATAGTTTTGTAGCATAGGGGAAATTGATTCAGAGAACTGCGAGTGCTGGTTTGAGTCTTAGAGAGAATATAATTATAGTTTTCAGATGAAGAATGCAGCATTTTATACGAAAAACTGCTCAGGAAATTGTAATGCATTTTGGAGAAGTGTTTCAAATAGAACATATTAGACTTGCAATTGCATATTTCAACTAAAGGCCAGGGGGAAAAATTCTTCTGAGTTCATTAGAAGTTGAAACTAACTTTGGAAATAAAAAAAATATTTTTAAACTTCCGATGCATATTTTCTGTCATGTCAGTTTGTAAACTATGGAATGAATGTAGTTGACTGTAAGTTGACTGCATTGGTTCAATTGCACATGTATGTTTTTAAAACCTGCAGAGAAATCTTCATATTTTTCAAGCTTTATTAATATTCCGCAGTTATGAATGAAACCTCTTCATAACATAAGTTCAGGGGTTCAAAGAAAAAAGAAAACATATTTTTAGAGCTTTTTAAAATATGTTTCCGATAAACACAAAACTTTTTGAATATCGTATCTAGGAAAATCTGCCATGACAGGAAACTGATTCACAGGTGACTCCAGCTCTCTTTATGTAGTTGATTCTATTGAGAATTGATAGACTAAGAGAGATCTGACCAGATTTAGAAACGTCGAAAATGTCAGTTTAGTATATATTACTATAATCAGTGTACTTTAGATACACGGTGACTCGTGTATCTAAAGTACACTGATTATATTTCTGCTTCACATATGAGCCATGATTTCTGTGGGTGTCTGCTCACAATATCGAAAATAAGCATCCTGCGTGCATCTAAAGCTCATAAAGTAAATTTTAATACTGATTCAGCTACAGGCATCATGGACATTTTTAAAATTTGCTAATAGTTACTTAAAGCTTTACTTCCATGAAATAAGTAAAGCAAATTACTTTACACTTACCTGAAGAGTTCTTCATGTGCCTCTTCTAAATCTCTTTGCTTTGCTTCGAGATCTCTTTGGCGAGCATCTAAAGATTCTCTTAGTTGCATGAGTTCTGTTTCTTTCGTATCTAGAGCTTCTTCCAGCTGACTCTGAATTCTCTTTATCATCATGTCTTTCTGCTGGATGATATCCTGCAGTTCTTGAATAGTATTCTCACCTTCTATTACAACCTTTGTTTTCTCGCTGAGAAGACTCTGAAATATACACATAAAATTATACCTGTTTTTCTTTTAAGATAATATAGAAAAAATATTCTTCTTTCTCCAACTTTTTCTTACAGTATGTTATTTTCTTTGCCCATGATATGTGGAATATGGCTTAAGAAGGGGAAGCAGGCACCTTTTGACTACATAAACAGAGAAAACCGAAAAAGAAAATAATATTTTTCATACATAAGGGTAGAAACTCTGGAAGAAAACATTATTTTGCCTCAGGTATTTCTTACCACTTAAAACTGTTTTATCTAGAATGTATAAGAATTCAGCTAAATTTCGACGAGAAATTTTAATACAAATTCACTGAAGTGTAGTATTCGAGTACTGATCCAATGCATATTTTTTTTACTGTGATGGTCGTAGAGGTGATTCTGAAATTTTTTATGAAGAGATTTTCATTAAAATTATAACTCTTTACTTTTGGCTTAAAAAATATTTGTAGATAAAAAATATTTTGCACCCACCCCCACCCCCCAAAAATTGAGCCAATGGATTTCTGGATTCTCTGTCACAATATTAAAAATATACTTCCTTAACACAATAATTCTTTCTGTCTAAATATTAAAAATATACTTTCTTGATTCTCTGTCACAATATTAAAAATATACTTAAATAGGTTTCATTTTCGTGAGGAATATTATGCAAGGTATTGAAAAAGGTATCTACGGCTTTTATCTATAAATATACTTATTTAGATTACAGAATATACTCATTTGGTTACAAAATGTTTTAAATTAAGGTTTAGAATTTTATGAAAAATGTCTTGACAGATCACAAATTCTGCCATAAAGAGTGCAACGTCAATTAAAGCACACTAAATATTACAGTTAAAATTACTTTATTCATAAACTTTTCAAATGATATTTTTAATTTCATGAAAGTTTCAAAATTATGAAAATATTTTTAAAAAGTTTGAATTTAATTTTTTATCCTATTACGTTTTTTCTAGTTTTGCTTCACTTTCGTTTTTACCGTTTGATCTCCATTTCCAGCTTGTAGAGGTTGATTTTACTTCAGTTTTAAGATTAACTGTACATTTGTTGGCTTTTTAATTTTGCATTTCTCCATACACCAATCTGTTGAAGAAGATCTACCAAGAGGTATAAAATGTTTTGCTATTTTTCACTGTCTTGGATTTGATTATTTTTACACTCAAATTGTTAGCGTGGTATTTTGTAATTTTTATTAACTTAACAGAATAAAATGCACATAATAGCTAGCTATATTAATAGATATTATTGTATTCTATATTTCAAAGAAATCTGTTACAGTAAATATTTTAAGTATTATTTTTTTTTACATTCACAATGTAGTTTTGTCACAATGTACATATTCAATTACCTAGATATTGGCATTTGTCTTTACCTTTGTTATCTATTCATGTCTTGCTTTTCACAAATAATAAGTTTATAAATGTATGCTGAAGAAGCTGGGATGGAGAATAACGCAAGTAAAAAATATATGAATAAAAACACAGCGTAGGTTTATGTTTTTTTTTTTTTTTTTTTTTTTTTCATACAGCAATTTATTTTTAGTACATTGATCGTTTAGATTTATACAATTTAGTAAAAAAATGAGAAACAGATGCTATAGAACCTTTTACAACTGAAATGTTTTTGAGTTAATTTAAGAGTAAAAATTTAGTATTTTTAGTTTTCAGGAGTAGATAGTATTTTAATTTAAAGGAAAACGTGAAAGACTTGAAAGTTTTTTATGCGTATTTTTTTTTTCATAATTTGGTAATAAAAATCAATGCTAAATCGTTTTTAATATACTTTGAAATTTTCAGACTGGAATTTTGTTTTACCGAACTCTTTTCATCTTTTCAAGGCTAATTTCATAACGCTTTGCATTTTATTTAATAAAGTTTATATTAATCGAAAGTATATATCCAGGATAAATATTTAAAGAAATAACCAGAATATCTAGTATTTTATAATATTTTAATAACACATTACGAGTAGCATTTTCACTAAAAATAAATTCTTTATTAATCAAAGCTTACTTATTATTTTCATAAAGGAAAGCCAAAAAATAGTTGAATTATAAGAATATATTCAAGAAAATTACTTTGAAATAAAGGTGGATGAATCCTTCAAATCAAATAGGAAATTATACTCTTATTTTCACCGATATTTGTTTATTTCAATTCTTGCCGCTATGCAATATTTTGCGAATTCGTTAATGTAAATTCTAGACAGCAGAATTTCTATGATTCCCAGACTTGTCCTAGGTTTACCCAATCCATAAAACTTTGCTCTCACGATTTTAATCACTGTCCTAATTATTAAAAGTATATACAGTACTTATAATAATTAGGACATGAATGAAATGACAAGTAAATTGCAGAAATGAGAAGGTCCAAATCGTTTCAACATTAGAATCCATCTACCTAAGAAGCAATCAATACATTGATTTTTTTTGCTTTTTAAGAAGGAAGTACATACCTGCACAGTTTCCTCTGACTCTTTCAATGAATGTTGTAGCTGAGATATCACATTATCCTTTTCAAGACAAACCGTACTATGGTGCTGTGTACTCTGCGCTAGCTGGTCTTGCAGAACTTGGATACTTCTTTGAAGAATTTGAATTTTATCCAACCTGCGCGTGCATTCTTCTTGAAGACCCTTCAAAATACATGAAACGAGGAATTTAGGTAGATATAAGTATTAAAATAAAACAACGGCAATTACCTAGATATTGGCATTTGTCTTTACCTTAATTGCTTCGTCTTTTATTTTTAAACCGTCTATCAAGGAGTGGACTTCTTTCAGCATTTTGTCAACAGATGTTGATGAAAGGCTCGGACAGTCGGTGTGATCACTTGTAGAAGAACTCTAAAGAAAGAAATGCAGCTGTATTTAACGATAAATGCATTTAAATAATGAGGGCAGACTTATGACGTACGCATTCTTTTAAACAAAAGACCATAAAATGTAATTTATGCCATTTACGTTTACTTTAGAAGCTGTATGAAAATTATTTTTTTATTTCTCTGAGATCATTTTGGAGACTTTATGCACCATTTCAATCTACTCAAAACACATGTTTCCAATATGTAGAAGTTCCACTCTAATAACAGTTTGGTTTATTTTTGACAACAATAAATAATGACGACAGAAGGTCAAATCTTGAGATCTTCGAATACCTCGGAACTGTTTTAATTAAACGGTTTTATTGGAAGTTAAACAATTAATCTTTCCAAAGATATGTTTTAAAATGTTTAACAATTTTCTTTGGTTCGAAAGATACGAATGATGAAAGATGTTTGAAGATTCTTCGAGTTTAGTTATAAAATTTAAAGCCTCAGGCTTTCGCATCACAAGCATTAAGCTCTGGATGAATATTCAACAGATGCGTTAAATAAAATACTCCATTGCCGCTATTTGTCTCTCCATTGTCGCAATTGTACCTGAATCATCCCTATCATTTCGTGGAAACTTTAAGTACCACAGTCTTAATTTTGATGAGAAAAAACTTGTGTTAAAGGCTATTAAAGTGTTAATATGAAATGCAGCCCAAAAGCATAAAACTAATGATTAAATTATGGTAGAACACAATTAAAACAGACAGTTTCCTAATTTTCAGACAGTCAAAAACTGTCTGCCGGGAGCTTCGCAAGTAGTAGTAACTGTCGGTCCTGTGCTGATAATTTGTGTCCGTATTACATGTTGGTTTTAGTTGTATTAGAAGCGGAGCTCAAAAATTGAACAGCAAACAACAAAAAATATAAATTATTCAGCGGTAAGCCTAGATTTCGCTTCTTTTTTGACTCTGAGAGAGCTTATGTACGGATAGCGGTTTTAGAGGTATATTATGCAGACTGTCTCGTTCTCATAGTGAAGCATGAATTTGGCTAATAAGGGTTTGGCCTAAAGTACCGCTAAAGTCTGTGAGAACAATGATTGTTTTCGATAGCGTCTTTATAAGGACAAACCGGCAAACTCCACCGAATTGTTCAAATTTTTATCCAGAAGCATAATGTACTACTTTAAGCTTCAAAACTGGAGGAACTTAGAAATGAGCTTGAAATTTTCCCATTCGTGTACAATCCATTGATCTCAATTATGCCGAACTTGCTTGAGGTATGCTAAAGGACAGATTAGAACATAATTTTCTTCTCTTCCGTAATGAAATGAAGTATTCACTAAACGGCGAGAAAACGGATAGATGTATCTTTAAAGGCATAACAAGACTAGTTTCTGTCATTTCAGGGGAAGGTGAATAACTTCAGCATTATTCTCCAAAAGAAGTCTACAGTGTGATGACAGACATTTTGCTCTGTAGGTGTAGGGTGTAGATTTATTGCGCAGTCCCTAAATCTCGCGTGCAATGCAAGTCGCTTTTATCATTCTCTGATATTAACGATATAGCATGATACATCGTAAATGTAATAAATAGAGTGTCGTTCATCGCCTTACAACTTTATACACTTCCTACTCTAACCTCAGATTCCAACGCACATTAAGACATTAACTTTCCACATATTCTTTTCTATAACTTCCTCATGTACTTATAATGATGGTGGCACATAGCCACGAATCATCTACAAGAATTGTTATTTCTGCAAAATCTATACTTTAATCAATTATTAATTTAGCAGAATGAATCCAATTATAAACTTTTACAATGTTTCATGCTTCTTAAAACCATTATAATTTGTAAAACACTGAAAGGTTTTAGGAGCTAACATCAAAATAATAGAAATATTGGAAAGAAGAAAGCAATTACAATGAATGGTAACTAGTTATGAACAGCCACATTTCTCTCGATTTCGTCCTGTTGCATTAAAACTGAATAGCATTTAAATTAGTAACTGTAAGCTGGCATCTAATAATTATAATGCGTTATCATCTCATAATACTTCTTCACAATAGAAGTAACTAAGTAGCGATTACTTAGCATCTATAAACCAACCGAAAACAGCGGAAATAATCAATTCGCTAGAGAAATTAATTAATTTTGAGTAATATAATTAATACGAGACTATACATTGAAGCCATTCTACATTCAGACTCAAAATAAGATTGCGTTTAAGGTTACAGAGACCTGGAAAAGTATAACAAATTAAATTGTAATATTCAAAATATTTTACCGCATATTAGTGAAGAATTCCAGTCTGATATACAGTCCGGAAATATATTCTCCTGCTGCAATTCACTACTTTACTTTTACCGTTTCTTCTGTTTAGATCTGGAGACACAAAATTTAATTGTGCAGTCTGAAATTTTACTGCATGTTTTAGGTTCAATTAATAATTCCTCACTATAGCCTTACTTCTTAAACTCTGGGCGAAGGATAAGATCGTTGAACGTTGGTAGTTCGACTCGGCGATCAGGCTGCTATATGGGGGGGGGCATTTTCCTGTTTTCCTCATACATAACATTAGTACGACCCAGAAAGGCTTCCACAATGGCACCCGTCTCCTTAAACTGATAACTCTAATATGTTTTGGCATAATCTAATAATCCAAAATCTTTAATGTGAAGAGCGAATATAGAATTTAAAATTTTTTAAGATCCCTAGTATTGTACACTGACTGTTTGCCTCCCCCCAAATTCGAGCATTAATGCTATGTAAGAACAATTTTATTCATATGCATAAATACATATGATTTTTTTACATAGAATTTTCACCCATTCGTTTATAAGTATAAAATACAGTACATCATACAAGTATAAAATACAGTACATCATACACAAAACAGTACATATACGCTGTTGTTTATCCATTCAAGTACACATAACGTAAAGTAAGGAAGAATAGGATACAAAGTTTAAAATTAACTATAATTCAGAAATTAAGGGGAGTAAAAAAAGGTTACAATACCAACGGATAACTTCAGTGAATAACTTGCTATGATAAGAAAAAGTATTCTTAAAATATACTTAAAATTTTGTTTTGGAAATATCATATCATTTGTCCCTAACTGTCCCATACCATGTTATGTAGAAATCTGACATTAGGGAAGGTCAAATAATTCTAATTCCATAACTGTTCTCTTTCCGATTCATTTGAAAGGATAAATTAAAAAAATAGTTGTCTGATAGAAGATAACTTTTCGGGCAACGAAAAAAACGAGCTAGGAAAAAGATACAGAATAAAAAAGTCTTGAGGGGAAAACTAGAGGAGTAGTACTTTTTTATTTTAGTTCTTCTCATCGTAGAATTAGAAAAATGTTTACTTTCTTGGGGATCCTTATTATTTAAATTGTTAAGTTTTAAAACAAATGAAGACGCATTTTGTAGAGTATATATAATATAACATATGTATATAATATATGCTTTTTCAATGAGAAAGAAAATTATTTTCGTCAAGGACATATATTCTAAATTTCACTAGGCCCTATTATTTTGCTCATGAATTTTCTCATATCTTAAAATAAAAAACGCCACATAAAAATGTAATTCGAAAGCATTACAAAAATATAATATCTAAACTAAATGTACAGTTCCGTTTTTAAAAGTCTGTAACTTCGTTTTCTCTAAAAATGTAAGTTAAACCTGGACCTCTCGAATACATGCCGAGTATGCTACCGTTACACTACGAAGGCATGCAGAAAGGAGGGAGAAAATACCTTATAAGGTAATTCACATCTTTCGTTGCATCGCCAGAGGGTTTGTGCAATTAAGGAAATAAATACATCATCCTGTTTCTGAACTAACAATGACACAAATTAGATTTTAGTATTCAAAATAATCTCAGAAAATTAATCAGAGTAATTTCCTACAGGCCGTGGAAAAATTTGCAAAATTATAGCATTAAAATCCTAAATAAGCTTATTCAAGCTTAAAAGTTTAAAAAATTGAGCAGACAGAGTCTAAAAAACCAAAAAATGTAAACAAAAGTAAAACAAAAGCACATTAAAAGGTGCAATTTTGTCCTTTTTCAAAAATTCATTAAATATATGTTTACCCATATTGGCTCTCTTTTCCACTGTGCTCATCCTCGGAGATGTCGGATTATCAGATAAGTATTTTGGACAATTAGAAAAAATGCATGGATAAGCATTGTTTATAATTTAGGGTGCCCTTTACAAACTTAAACAATAATGCCTTCATCTTTTGATAAATAATCGTACGGGATGATTTCATCTTCTCAAAAATATTTCTCACATACAAAGCTCACACGGAATTTTTTTAACTAGAAATCCCGTTATAATGTAACTTTTGAAAACTTGAAGATCTGTATATATTCACTGGTTTTATAGTAATTCGATTTGCAGTCTGAAACGCAATATCGTGCAGGCATTAAAGTAGATTTAACTCATTTTAGCTCTACATAGAAGTCGATAGCCATATTTATTAACAAATACTAAAGAAATAAGCAAACTTAACTCCCAGTGTGAACTTAAAAACAAAAACTACATAACTACTTTACTTAAATTACTTAACTCAAATTTAGTAACAAAAAATAAATGAATAATGAAAAAACGCAGTGAAACGTTAATGAACAGCGCACAAACTAACGCAGGAATTCTTTGCTTACAGTGTCCACAGTGAAGCGCGAAGGGTGAAAGTTCAGACGCCTTTCGTGACGTCAAATCACGTGACTTTGAAGCTGACGAGGCCATCTAAACTCACGAAGGTCACGGTCATGCTAAGACCAAAGTCAATGAAAAATATAAAAAATAAGACAAACATATCTGCGTCCATAGCAGTGGCCTGACCAAAGTTAAGTAAGCAAAAATTGCTGAAAAGGTTTGCCGGAAATAGCAGAATTCCAAAGGAGTGGTACCAGAAAAGAAAAGTACTTAAAATTCTTCAATAAGGTGAGACTACGTAGAAGGGGGAAACAAACGTAAAGAAGCAGTAGCCAATGATACGTAACGGCCAGC